CCATTTGAAAGCGAGTGAGGTAGCCCGTACTGTGTATGCGGAAACAATCCTTCACTTGCTATATGCAGCGTTCCTATTCCTGCTTTCCCCCCCTCTGTCCCGATCCATGTTCAAGTACCCAGCTCCGAGTCTCCAACTTCCCTTGCTCCTGGGGACCGGAAGTGAAGTGCCTGTTGCTGTGGCCCACTAAAGCTTAGGCTTCAATGTCTTCTGCTGGCTCCACGAGGGTTTAATGGACGCCATAGATCACACAATGGACAACGAGCTCTCTGCCTTGCCCGACTCTGCGACTGGCAGAAGCAGGGACGTGTCGGGGATATGAGGCATCTGACTGAACCATGAACCATACAATACGGATACCTCACCTTGCTACCAGCCTCTGAACCTTACACACCAAGTAGAAAGGCGTACGGAGCAGTAGAGGATAGCTGGTCACTCCTCCTTGCTCTTAGTCCCTCCATCCCCGCCGGTGCCAGACAGGAACCAGTCGGGACGGAGCCATCGCAAGCACCAGCGCCGGCCCAAGCAGAGTCGGACGGAGACTTGTAGGGGGACGGGAACCACACTCTCACAGCCCTGAACGCCTGATGTGCTTGACTAGTGCAAAGGGCGGGCTCCCAGACTTTTCTTCCAGCCAGGCCAGGGCACCTCACCTCACCCACCTCACGCGTCCATTCCTACGGTCTACCTACCCGTACACTACGGAGTACAGACACTGGTACCACTAAATATTCTAGCCCAGGCCAGGTACATTGGATAACACCCTCCTCCTGTACTGGCCCCGGACCGCACACACACACTGAACAGGCACTGCGACTGTGAATGTGGTCCAAGTTGGGTCAGGTACTTCAAGCTTAGAGCCTCTCAAGTTCTCCTTCCAGGGCCCATTTCTTCCCTCGCCGTCTCCGTCTTTTTGACTCTCTTCCCTGGCAAGCCCCTTCTCTCCCCCTTTCCCCCCTTCTGCTGCCTGTCCGCCTATCTTCTGTTCTCAGGGCAATGTAAGGCGCGGCACCGTAATTCCAGTCATCCAGGGTACATTTACCATGCCTTAACCTCCGACTGGCCCTTCCCAACTTTGGAAGTCCCATCTGAGTCGGAAGCATTCCAATTTTTTTCTCGCGCGTGCTCCATCCACGCCATCTCCCCTCATCCTCCTCCGCCTTTCGTCCTCTCTCTCGACTGGTACCAATTCTCTCTCACACTCAGCATCAACAACAAAACAAGACATATTACGCCTTGACGCTCTTCAGAGTCTCCAGAGGACAGACTCATAGTTGCTCTGCTCCGACCTACCAGCCCATTGGGTCACCCCGCGGACGCTGATTCGATAGCTGTGGTTCCCTCTCTCTGTCGACCTAGCTTCCTGGCAAACTTATCCTCCAACTCAGCCTACGTTACCATCCGCGGCTTGCATTTTCTATTGCCGGGCCCTTGACCCTACTTCACTTCACCTTGCCCGCTCTCACTCGGACTTGGAGACTCAAAGGCACCGTACCTCAACTCCCCGTATCTTGCCGGTCGTCTCATCTCATCTCGTCATCGTCATTCAACGGCTGCTTGAGTTCGTATTTCTTTCCGCCGGCATCCCTTCCGGAGCCATACACGCGTTCCGACTCCTCTCATTGTCGTTGACAAACGGACGGGCCACTGCCCGTATCACAACTACTCCGCCATACCGTACCGCCCTCTCTTAACTCTGTTTCTCTTATGCCCTCTCACTCTCCACAACCCGACGACAAATCGAACCCGTCCAAAACCCGCAATCCATGAAAACGGTCATTTAGGGTCAGCCAACCCGCAGCAGCCCGGGGTTAACCGCTTCATTATTCACTCTCTCCAAGTCTTGATACACTTCTCATCACCGCCTTTCTCAACAAATCATCCGTCTGCCACACGCGCGCAGACAACCGCAAACCGAGTAGCCAACCCAAGTTGCAGGTTGCCTCTCACTTGCAGCTCTCTGCATCTTGTTTGCGTTCTTACACATCGGCCATCAAGCAAACCACATCCCAACCACGTCCGACTGAACCGTAGAGCAACGACCATGACCACCTCTCCTCGCTTCAGGTAAACTCACATCGTACCTAGCAAGATTGCCCTACACGGCGGGGCTATCTTTGCCTATCGCCAGTACCTCTGCGCACCATCAACTTCTGTCATTTTAATCTCCAGCCGTCTTTGCCGTAGACCGCCTGGTCTCGGTAGAGAACACATTCGCTTCAAATGGATTTGCCAAAGGGACTCGTCAAAGACGACAGGCGTATATATGAAGATGTTGCAGCGCTCACGCAGCCTCTTCCGCCGGATTTTATCATAAGAATGTGGCGTCGTAAGTAAACGGCCGCTCGCAGTGTCTTTTCACATGAAAATCTAACGTCACGTCACAGTCTACACCACAACAAACCTCAAGCTTGTTGATCCAACCGCACGTCGCTTAGAAAATTTGTGGTGGCATGTCATGGGCAGCGATAGAAGTCAATTGAAAGCTGCGACCGTGGCTAAGTTATGGGAGCACATCTCCTATGGTCCAACCTTTGTGCCTCTTAGAGGCTCACCAAACCGCTGGGAGGGACCTTCGGTATTTTAATGCCTCTCTCGACCTGACTTGGCGCTGATTTTGCTGACTCTCTGCACAGACGCCTCGTTTTAACAGCCAGCACGAATCTGATCCGGTTCTCAGCGCTCAGCAAATGAATCAAGACATTAAGATGATCTCTGAACAGTCGGCTCTGAAGGAGTTGTCTGCTTCGTCATCTCGACCCCCGCCACCACACCCGATTCTCAAGAAACACAGGGGTGACTCGAAATCTGGCCCTCGTCCGACAGCCCGGTTTGTGTCGCCTCACGAGTCTGCTGATGAAGACTACCAAACTAGTGATGAGACGTCGTCGGGAAGCACAGGCACCAGTGGCCTGGAGATGCGCACTTCATCGGCAGTGTCCCCAGCGAAATCGAGTAAGAAGAAACCCTCGACACCGACGAAACGATTTGTTGCATCAGCGGCGAGTAAGAGAAGGCCAGTTCTGCCAAGGAGAATGAGCTCGCAGTCGTCTACGAACTCCGACGTTGGGGTCAAGGAGACTGGTTCTGCCAACGGAGGGAAACACGTGGGAACTTACAACGTGATGCATCCTCATGCTGAAGAAAGTGCTATTATGAGCGTATCCGGGTCCGAAGGATTCGAAATGCCGCCTCCTAGCGCCAAAGCCCTTGGAAAACGACCAGTCGAACGACCAATTTCAGAATCTCCGAGATCGGTGGGTATTTCCCGACCCGCTGAAGAACGGCGGAAACCGGTTCTCGTACAAACAGCAAATCGGGCGCCAGCACCAGCGCCCTTGAGCAAATCGGTCACCGACCGGACGAGTCGCGAAGTTGGCACAGTCAAAGCTGGCGGCCCCAGGACCCCTACGTATATACCAGCTGCATCACCCGCGCTCTCATCACCAAGAATTGGATCATTCTCTTCGGCACGTTCCGGCTTCTCGGCGCCGCGTATGGAACGGGTACCGTCGAATTCCGAGTCCTATCGACCGAGGGAGGCTAGCATTGGTCGTGGTTCTGCGCAGGGGCTCATATCGAGCGCTACTATGAGTACGTCGAACATTGCAGCCATGGGGCAGGTGACGATATCTGGTGAGCCGGATCGACGCGCTCTGAAGACGTTGGAAAGTTTCCAGGACGAAGCTGGACCCAGGGGCAACCCACGCCGAATTTCCTCTTCATCGCACTTCGCGCCGACGATGCCAAGCTCCACTCCCGATGTGCCACTAGCGAGAACAAGAAGCCAGCTGACGCTACTGCTGGAGCGCGAGAAAGAGCGCGCTGGGGATAGGCCAAGACACAGGTCGTGATCCCGATCGCCCAGAAGAAAAAGAAGAAAAAAGGCTATTTTCATGGCTCTCATATAATCCATATACTAATTCGCGAGGTATCAACTGCATTGAAAGGGGCTTCTGGAGTTCATGGAAGACAAAACGGGTGAAGCCATCCGGATGTGGATGTCTTGCTTTCGACAGAGTTTGCCGCTACAGGCGGTTGCGTCTGCTACTGGCAATTCCGCCTTTATTGTCTTTTCCTTCTATTCTTTTCATCAACTCGACGAAGCCGACCATTCACAGGAAGAAAGTTGGCGCATTTGCATCGCACGAGGCGTTTTCATTGCCGGCGGTCAGGGGACCCCTTTTTGCAGGGGAAACGCCTGATATGCATTACAGGAGGGGACAGCGACCAAAAGGGGATCATTGTTTGCGTTCACAGCGGTTCAGCAGGAGGCGGCAGGACTATTTGAAGTTCAAAAAGACGAAAGACGAAAGGCTTGCTCTCGGTGCGCCGTCATTTTGCCAGCGACCCACCGAGCTCTTCTTAGCGAGCCATTCTGAATGAGAAGATATTTGTTACCCAAACACTGAACTGACCTGATCATCCACGACGATACGAAGACAGGCGACTGATTGCAATGTGGCCGTCAAGCAGACGAGTGCGTCTTGCCCGGGCTGAAACATGACAGGGGATGATGAGTTTAGGTCCAAAGAGGATCTAAACTGCTTTCTCTCCAGACTTGCTCACTCGGCTTACCCTGGCTCCACAGCATTGCTCGTAACTCTGGCTAAAGATATCACACAGTCCTTCGACTCGCTGTTGATCAGGCTCTAAGTGTCTTAAGCGTGGACCCATTGCCAAAAGGCATCAGGTAGTCGACTGCCAAAGGTAGTTGTGAGGGGTCGAGGAGCCGTCAAAGGAGGGGAGGTGGCCAAGGTAAGGAAAAAGCAAAATCGCAAGTAATCACGAGGTCAGTTGTCTGGGACAAGGGAGGGGGCCAACTTGCAAGCGTGAGATGGCGTCGATATCGCAACCCGGAAAGCCATTACGCAATCCGAAATAAGGGGTCTATTGCTTAGGTTGGTGCGATGAGAGGGCCCCCTCCAAACCACAGCCCCTGTCAGGAAAGGAGACGGGAGTGATCTGCAGACTTTTTGATGGTAAGCGACAGATTTTGCGTGCGACTGGTGGAGGTCACACTCTTGTCGGAGATGGGACTGGAGGGAGCTGAGCGGTCCCCTTGAGGCCATTCCTACGGAGTAAGTGAAGTGAAGTAAGTCACCAAGTAGCCTCCCCTCTTCTTCCCCCCACGCCTTGGCCACGCGGACCTGCCGTGTCGAGCGCGAGGGGCAACGACAGGTTGGAAATGGGTGTGGGAAGGAAAGCGGAAGCTGTCGAAGCTACCCTGGAGCTTCCTCTCTCGACAGGGGGGGAGCTGTGCGGGGTAGGTGTACACAACCTTAAAGGGGAGGAGGTGAGGAGGAGGAGCTCAGAAGTTTTGGGGGCAATGCGGTTACGGTTGTATTGGCCGTTGGAAACCGCTCGCTGACTAAGGTAAGTTGTACTCTCCCATCGTCCCCCCACGTCTTTACCAATTACCCTGTTCACTGTTACTTCGTACATTATTGGATAAGAAGGAGGGGACCGGGCTTACACAGAGAGGTCGCTCACTATCAATAATGTGCCTAGGCCCCCGGCTTCGAATTTAATGACAGATTTTGCTGGGAGAAACTCGATACCTGCCCGGCAACAGAACGACCATGGACGGCACAAACCAGAGAGGTCCCCCCACACTAGCGGGATAGGCGGCATCCAACGACCATACCTCCCTCCCACCCAGGTGAGATGGCAGATAGAGTCTTACATGGGATGGGACAAGAAGGAGGTGGCGAGCGCAAGGTTAAGGAGAGTGATGATATGTACGGAGTACGGATGTGGTTATGCTTATCGCTCACAGAGTCCTCGCGAGCTTCGGAGCTGCGGCCTTCTCCTCTCATTTCTTCTCCCTCTTCCGCCTCCTCCTCCGCAACATGCAAGTGCCCGGCAGGTCTCCCACGTGCGCTGACAACGGCGCCGGGTTCGAAAAGTACCAGGTGGCTTGCGGGATCCTTGTCTACTCTGAATCCTCTACGGAGTAGAAGCCTGGATCCTGTGCGGATAGTAGATATCCATGCCGTCGTCCATAGCTTGGGTTCCATCGCGTGGTTTATTCAGTTGAACACCAGAAAAGTGTTGGGAGCTTCTGGGTGTGATTCAGTCAGCATTGGCACCTCTTGGGTACTGAGGCACCAGGTAGGGTTGGAAGAAAAGGTTCAGTAATCCCATCACAACGGTAATGCTACTCTCTGCCATGTCAGATGGCAGCCCGTGCGTGATTACTTCTTCCTTCCCATCTCCTTTTCGTGCTCCTGTTGTTGTTAATCCCCCCCCCCCCCCCGCCCCTCCCCCCCGTCTGCCGAGCCGGCGGGATAGTTCCCATAGTCTCCTGCCTCTTATCTCATCTGCCTCCTTGTATATCATATACGGATACATTCCGTAGGTTTAGACACAAAACTCAACGGTCCGAAAAGAGCCTCCGTAAATTTTGAGCTGCTTTGTCACATGTCCGCTAGACATTGACCACCCGTTCGCAATATCTACTTCCCGTTTCTCGTAGGATGAGGCTGGTGGGCGAGTTTGTCTTGTCACCTCCCACACCTACAGATACTTCTATCTCCCACCAACACGAGAGCCACGAGCACCGAATAGGAACAAGCAAGTCCTACACGGGGGCGAGACGAGACATATGCCTGCCAGCATACCTACCTACCTGCATACAAGCACGGGGCATACCTACAGCCAGATATTTCGCCTTTCGCCTATCTACCATATGCACCATCCTCGCCCGCCCAACCAAACAATCATACTGCAAGTCGCCCAAAACCACCAAGACAAAACGTTCTAGACTCTCAACCGCCCCCGACCCCTTTCCTACCGGTCCCCGGTTCCCGCCAACACGCCGGTGCCGTCCGTCGCACAGCATGAGCTGGTACATGACAGGCATGCACGAAACGCCAAATCAGACAGCTCCAGCGACCGCCCATTCCCTCCCCCGCAAAATGCACGGCACGGCGTTTGGACCCTCGATGGTGCAGTTGTTCCAGTCCTTTCGGCGTGTCAGTGCATGTGTGCTTGTACTGTGCGTGTGGTAGCAGCGGTAGGTAAGGAAGCACCAGTGCCGGGCCACCTTGTCGTTCATCCCCGTCACATATCCGTCATGTCTACCGCGATTTGCCAATATCTAACCGTCTCCCCGTGCGAGTCCTACAATATTAGTGTCCCATATCCGTCTCACAGAGAATTGGAGCGTCAGGACTACTGAACACCAGGCCAGCCCTCGAGACGAGGTTTCAGACGAGGCTCGAGACGAGGGTAATATGTGGAAAACCAGCGGGGTCGGATACGGGAATTCAGAATAGGGGAGACCCGGCGATACGAGGGATCGGATAACTGTCGGCGGTCCGTCCGGTGACCCTGTGCTGCGGGCTCCGTAACACTGCATGTCGGGGTGGTGGAAGACCTCGATCGGTGCCGACGAATGAGCCTCATCGAATATGCTGACCGGTGTAAAACTGCCTAAATTAGTCGCCTTTCACATGTCACTTACATTGAGGGAGTTAGTTTCCCTCTTCGACTCTTCAAATTTTTGTATCTCGGTACGTTTGACTATTATCAATTTTATTATTTGTTGGCCTATCAACAAATTGACCTATGTCTCCGTAGCAAAAACGCCAATAAGTCCAGTGAAAATGCAAAATTTTGACCCTTTTCCTCCTTTGCTTCTCCAATCCAATTCAATTTGAGGACAAGTCGCGGCTTATGTAACGGTGTAACCACCGTCAACCCGGAGGTCCGCGCCCGTAACGTATAGAGAGGCATCAGACAGCAGGAAAGTGACGGGTCCCATCAGGTCCTTGGGCTGTCCCATCTTGCCCTGGGGAATCAGGGAAGTCCACTTCTGCTTGAGATCTGGGTTGTCGTCGAGAATCTTCTCGGTTCTGCACATTTGCGTTAGTATTGACAGCCTGGAAACAAAGAAGTGTGTTATTAGACTTACAAGGCCGTGAGCATGTAGCCGGGAGAGATACAGTTGACGCGAATGCCCGCGCCAGCCCACTCGACAGCCAAGGAAGCAGCCAAGTGACGGACACCAGCCTTTGCGGCATTGTAAGGTCTGTTTAAACATATGTTAGCCAATCCGACACCTGTAAGAAGAGACAAGATTCGATAGAGCTTACGCCTGAGGCTGGGGAATGTTGACAATGGAGCCAGACATGCTACCGATGAAGACCATGCTTCCGGGAGACTTGCGCTCCATAAGGTGCTTAGCAACGCCGATGGCGAAGAGGTATGTGCCGTCAACGTTGACGCCCCAGAGCTTGCGCATGCGCTCAATGGGGTAGTTGATTGCATCAAAGTTCTCAGTGAAGCCGGCCGACGTGACGAGGTTGTCAATCTTGCCGTGAGCAGCGAGGATCTCGGCGATACAGGCGTCGACAGAGGCGGGGTCTGAAACGTCTGCATGGTGCGCAGTCACCTTGGGAACTCTATTGTGCATTAGTCGTCAATCACTTCCTCCCAAGATTAATTGGTTCATCTGGGTACATACCTCTTGGCCTCTGGGTTCTCTCTCTTGAATGCCTCAAGCAAGTTCTTGGCTTGAAGCTCAGCCTCCTCCTCTATTCCAGTATCAGTACATTGTTCTCACAGGAAGATGAAGCTTGCGGGCAGTCGGAATCCAAAACTCACTGTTCAAGTCGACAATGGCAAGGTCGCTACCGGAGTAGACCATGCCCTGGCCCATGACCAAGCCAAGACCGCGCGCGCCGCCAGTGACGACGCCAGTGTGGCCATCGAGAGAGAAGGAAGCAAGCGTGGGCTTGCCGATGCCACCACCGTGGCCGCGGACCGGCTGACTGCTAGGCAGCTGGTCGTCCTCGGGGTACTCGACAGTGACATCGGGGTCGGTTCTCGAGTACTGGCCCGGGTGAGGCTTCTCTCTGACGTTGGGACTTCCGCTGATGGATCTGGACTGTTGCCGCTGCTTGGGGCTAGTGGCTGCAATGCTAGCTTGAGCTGCAGAGGCGGAAGACTGAGAGGACTTGCCGCGGACCTGAGTATGTCTCGCGATGGGACGAATGGTCCGCGCCAGTCGGGCGCTAAGGGGACGGAACATTGTGAGTGTCTGTGGGTATGAAAGTGTTAGACGCGGTGTTGATGTACACGTGAATATTGACGTCTGAAATAATTCGACGGTCAAAGTCGGTTCGAGATTTCCTTTGGAGCAAAGGAAAATGTAAAAGCCAAATGACAATGGCGTTTGTTTCGGTTTTGGAGAACCGTTGGCTTTTGCAATTGACTTCAGCCGGATGATGTCACGGAACTAGTTTTTGTTGGGCGACGACCCGGTTCGAGCAGATGAAGCTAGCTGTCTCTGGCAGATGCGGAGTTGACGATCAAATCTGTCAGAGGGCTGGCGGAATTCGATGCGCCCAAGTTTGGGCAAAAGCAACGACGAGAGGAGCTATGGTGGGGTAGATGACGTGGGACGAGCGGATGGGTGGTGGTTGACTCTTGATCGTATGGCTGTAAGTCTGGATCGGGAAGTACGTCTCGTAATTCGGGGTCGGTTTGACGTGGTTTGTTGTTGTATGTGAGAAGTGTGGGTGTGAGGGAGGAAGACAGTCAGGCCGCGGATGGGAGGATATGGCAGAAGGGGAAGAGCTTGGAACCTTGGAGAAAGTGCGGGAGGGAAGGAAGGAACGACGGGACGGAAGGGAAGGAGGTTTAGGTAAGACACTCGTTGACACTGGCAAGTAGGTAGGGAAGGAAGGATCGTGGCGTGAGTTGATCAAGTGGTCAATTGGTTCACTTGGTTCACTTGGCAAGGGCAAACAAGGATTGGATGTGGAAGGAAGCATGGAACTTGGTGGCAGCCAAAAAGAGAAAACGGCAAAAAAGTTCACGATACTTTGGGCGTGTGGACGCGTCTCGCAGCTTCCTGGCCCAAAACCACGTCTCAACCGGTCAGGTCCCAAGTCGCAGGTTCCAGGCGCCGCATGTCGCAGGTCGTAGCCCGTCCGCCGCTCTCGCACTGCCTCGCGGGGAGTTGCCCCGGAACTAGGGCTGGACTCGTGGAGCCCGAGCGGACACCCATGGGCCATAATAAGGATCGCTCCATGCCACCCACCGCCCACCGCCTACACTAGAACCACAACCCCGGGGCGGGGGTGGGCCATTGCCCCCAAATCGATGGAAGGCCCTCTTCTGTCTCCTCCACCCCGGGATGCCCGGCAGCCGGTTATCAGGCCGAACAAATGATTCACTGTTTTTGTTGGCCTCTATAACTACCACCGACAGTGGACGTTGCAATACATTCGATGATGGGTGCCTTAGGTGACATGGGTTCATGTGATTTTAAGGTTAGATTCCTAGATCAGACAGTTTCAATAGTGTAAATGTACCAGAACAGTGTATGAATATGCAAGTTGTAGTAAGTCCTTGTAAAGGGGACCTTAGGCGTTGAAACTGGAGAGCCACCACCAACGAGCAGAACATGAGAGAAACGAGACGGAAACCCCTTAAACCCTTGTCATTGTTGTCAAGGCCTCCATGTCTCCTGCTCATCATTCCGAGCTCCCCGTGTCCCTCGTGTCCCGAACGGGACCCTGTGGGGCCAGGAAACAACGAGAAATCTTGACCGGGCTTGTGACCCAACCTTGCCAACATACTGTGAGAAGCTCCAACTTTTTTTCTCCTCTCAAGAAACTCCCGGAGGTTTTGGGGGTCCTTGGGGGCAAAACATTGGGCATCTCTCGAACGCCATTCTCCACATTTCACTCCAATTTTCCCTGCACGGGATGAGATTCTAGAATGCCCATGAGATTAGGGGTGCCAAGGGTCTGGCCACCGGTGTTCATCCTCACAGACACACACACCTCAGACCTCAGACGCAGACCAGACAGAGAAATACTGACCTCCGGTTCGGAGACCGCCTCGATCATGCATCCTGTCACACCGTCACGCTATCACGTTGATTCGGATGGCCATGCTGTTGGCTTGGCCCGTCATTTCGTTTACCCGCTTTGTTTCTTCTCATTCTCTGCAGAACACGAGGTCTTTTGCATCGAGGCTGACTGACTGACTGATAGTTCGGACATCACTATGTCACCACCCACCGGCCTTCACCCCGGTGCCAAGCATACAGAATGATTTGACCCGTGCCTTGCAGTCCCTTAATGCGAATGGGAGAGCCACCTCAGGAGCTGGCGCCGGGTTACCGAAGTCGGCCCTTCGCTTGCACCTGCCCAAGTGAATGACCAAAGAAGAGACCTGACTTCAACACTATGGCATCGCACAAACATACCCTTCCCACCAAGTCACACGACTACCTACGCTCCACCAAGGAAAACCAGATTCTGTTTATCGGCGAGTTATTAATTAACTGAGCTTCTTGCCGGCTTCTCTCGCTCTAGGCTTGATTGTAAAATCGAGGATATAGCGACGTGCCTAGTCATGTGGATTTCTGCACTTTTCTTTTGAACTCCTCTTGCCGTATCAGTTTTGACTTTAAAAAGCCAATAAAATTCTTCGTTCCTATCGACTCAACTGTAACGTACACAATGATGTCCGTCTCTCGTACCGATCCTGTTCCAGAGCGCAAGACACCAACCCAAATCATAATCATCATGCGTCTAGCCAATGGAGCGAGGGGCGATAGTAACCAGCGCGGGTTCTCTCCATGCTGCATGAGAACCAGAAAGAAGAATGTCGTCGCCCTTGCGTCAAGAAAGCCTGTGTTGAATAAGTCCAACAAAGTGAGGCTCCCAGGCTCACTCCAGGGCTCATGCGAACAAGTCGGAGCCCTGGCATTGATGCCTTCGCTTATTTTCGAGAGAGGCTTGCCGATTCCCTAGATCACAACCTTGTCAAGCTTCTCGTCATCAATCAGCTTTCGAACGTCAATTTTGCGATCGACTTTGAAAGATGATTATTGTTAGTCCCGCTTACGTTTTGAAGCCTAGGACGTCAACGACTTCTGTTGAGTGGCTGAAGCTAAGCCGCCACCTTTCTTGAGTACAGATAGCACTCCGGAGTTACCTTGACTTAAAGCAAGGTCACTGGCAGTCTGGGACTCGTGGGAGTGGCGACCCGGGAACTGACAGAACCTGTTGATGCAGCGCTTGCATTTCTCGATGACTGCATTAACTCGAGCCCCGTGAGCAAGCAGATCCTGCGCTATTTCTACTGCCCACCAATTGTCGTTGCCAAAGGCGGCAATAAGATGCAGAGCTGTCCATCCATGTGACCAAGAGGTCCCGTCCCCGTTGACATCAACGCTGTCAAGAAGGAATCTTCTTACAATACTGTCGGGGCGTTCTACAACGTCGGGATATCGTACAGCAAAACAGACGACATTGAGAAAAGTGTCATATTTGCTGTCGTTTTTGCACCAAACCTTGCATGGAGAGCTCCGGACGCGACGACAAAGCCACTTCAGCTTTGCGACCTGGTGCGAGTGCCAACTAAGAGCCTCGGACAAGACGTTCCCGAATTCGATGTTGATGTCTTCGCTATTCATGTGTTCCATGACCATGAGCACGAACTCTTGGTTTGGAGCCTCACAGATCAGGTTGAAGCTCGCTACTCTTCTGTCGTATGGTTTATCTTTCATCTCGATACAGGCTAACTTGAGAAAAAGTGCCGCCAACCGTGTATTGCCCCGTCTTAATGTATTGACAAGCGGACACTCGACCGTGAGATACGGGATTATCTCTTGTCCACCATTCACGAGGCTAGCGCCACTGCGGACAAGCAGTTCAGCAGCTTCGCTATGGTCATATTGAGTAGCATAGGCGAGGGCCGTATGCGAGTCCACTTCAGTGTCGTTGACGTAGTCCTTAGCATCAGAGGATTCCTCCAAAAGCTTGCGGATTATGGGGAGCAAGCCCAAGGCTGAACAAATTTGCAAAACGCCAAACATGGAGCATACCCTCCTCGTCGCCCACCGCATGTGGTCCTTCATAATTCCGTCTGGGTCATACTCGAGCCACCAAGCAGTGCGGAGAATGGATTCCTCTTCGAAGAAAGCATGCCTAGGCTTCATAAACTTCAGAGATTCCTCGCCACAGAGCTTCGCATGCGTTGGCCAGTGACTCCTCGCATACTTGAGCCACATCGTAACGCAGAATTTGTGGTCTGTCCAGTAGTATTTGAAGCCGCGAGCAATGTTCTCGGGGCGCTCAAACTGAGCCTGAAGATCATCGAGACACCTTTTGGCAATTTCGTAGTGCGTTTTTTCTGGTGCAAGATGACAAGTCGTGATCTTAGGATCCACGTTAGCGTCGTTGATATCGATCTCTGAGAGATAATCTGCCATTGACCGATGAAACAAAACAACGAAGTCGCCCTTGTCGTATGTAACGCAAAGGTCCTCCTCCTCTCCTTTTGTAAATCTCATCAGCGGATAAGAATCCGTGACGAGATCCTGTATTCTTTTACAGGCCTCATCCTCCTCCTCGTCGGAGTGTTGCTTGTCGGGGTAGAGAGCCGTGCTTAGCTGCCGCGCTGTGAAAGGCTCTTGGGCCAAAGCCATCCATCGGACCATTGAGGCTATCTCTTCGCGAGACTCATCGCATGTCTGTAAGAGAAGACGCGAGTAAGCAGGGCGAAGACCACGTGGCATTTTGTCCAGTGTCTTCCACATCTCTGACTCTGATTTCTTCGATGTAAGCTCGTCAAGCATGAAGCCGGCCCACGAGAAGAGCCCCTCGGACCGTTCATATAATTTGACTCTCAATCTGCCCCAGAACCCTTTATCGAACTCTTCGACCTTGGGATGTTTTGCAAGCCTGGCATCGATGACCAGAGAGATGTCGTCGGAATATTCACCAGAATAAAACGGCCTGTAGACGAGGCCAGGATTCAAAGCCCGCTGCTTTCTACCTGAACATTGATCCAAGTTCAAGTAATGAGATCCTCGAACGCCTTCAATACCACTGCTGAGAATGATAAACTTTGAAATATTGGGAGACGGGCGACAAACCCCAGAGGGTCTTTCAAAAAGTGCCTGAAGCTTTCCGACAAGCCATTTCCTATCGCCTCCGAGGCACTCGTCAAGCCTATCGAGGATGCAGTAAAACGGGCCCAGGTCGGGGTCTTCCAATACATGAGCGAAGATCTGCCACAGGGTACCGAGTGAGCCCAACGTGTACTCAATTCTCTCTCTGGGTAACATGAATTTCGCAGCATGTTTGGCGAGAACCGGATTCGTTGTGAAAATCTCGTGTAGCCAGGTTCGTAGAATCGATATTGCTGTGTTCCTTCTCGGATCGTGACGGTTGCAAAAGTGGAACACGAGAGTTCCGGGTGAGCGTTGCGTTAAATCCTTGAGTTCTCCGATGAGGAAGATGGAGAGCATGGTCTTCCCCATGCCGGGGGCGCCGGATATGCATAACAGTTCCGACTTTCCAGACTCCAGCCACGTTCGGTACTTGTCCTCGGATCGAATCCACTGGCAGGTTCCCTCAACTATGCCTCCTGATGAGTCGAGGATCTCCTGCTTGTCGATATCTGGATTCGTGATGAAAAGGGCGTCGATGCATCTTCTCATCTCATCTTTCGCAGGCTCGCCTACCCGAGAGATGTCAGCCAGATTACTTCGAGAGGGATTGATGAATGAAATTCCGAACCTGAGGTGACATGATTGCTTCCCGCAATAATAGTTGAGCCATGAGCGGCATATATGTCGCCAATGGATATCGACATGTCGGCCATTGGGGATAGGATGGCAGTGACGAGGGCTAATGTGATAGTAGCCGAGTCAAGTTGAGGCGAAGAAAGAATTTGTAGCTCCTTTGTGACAAGAGCTGCTTGAAAAGCTTTGAGAAATTGAGGAGAAAGATGGGTGAAGGTGAAAATGAAGGATCCCATGGCCGGAACACCGGGGTCTGCAGACAGGTGCCCGGTTTACCCTATGACTGTCATGCGTGGGGTGTCCAAAGACCGGTGAAGGCATGCCTGGTGAGCCAGGTCGCATCAAGGCATCTTTTCCTAGACTAAAGAATAACTCCTAACCCTTTGTCATGGTCGATGATCGAGACATCTGCCTGCCTGCTGGGAGTCCGTGATATAAAACGGGATGGCATTGCTGCCTTCTCGAAACCCAATACTTCACTTCTACATCTCCTCATTCCTCTCACTTCATCTGCAGACACCATCAGATACTTCAACTGAAAAGATGGCTGAACTTCTCGGAACCACAAGTGCCGGAGTTGCCTTGGCAGTGACAGCTTTGCAGGGCATCAAAGGAGTAAAGGAGACGATTGCCAACATCGAACGAGCCCCAGAGATGATTACCAACATCAAACAGGAACTCCAAGATATCGAATGTTTGATGGAGCGCCTCAACATCTCGTTCCAGTCAAACGAGACCGAAGTGATGTCCGTCGCCGAAAACACCAACGTGCAATCCGCACTCAAGGCCTGCAGCGCTTCGTCTTTAGCCTTGGACAACGAGGTCGGCAAGCTTCTCAAACGCTCAAATGACGGACGGGTTCACTGGGTGGACAGAACCAAGATCGGACTATTCGGCAAAGACAAGCTCCAGGTTTTCGTGGACGAGCTCAGGATTTGCAAGCAGACTGTCAACTTGGCTTTGGCCGGCGCCAACTTGTGAGTACTACATCAAGTTCTTGCAGTTTTGACGGTAGATCTGATTTTTCCCTCTTACAGTTTGGCATCTCTCGAGCAAATCAAACAGCTTCAGGCGATCATGAAGCGACTTGAGACCAATGATGGTGATTCTCACTCCGCAGCCAAGCTTCAGAAGTCGAATGATTTGATCAGAGGCTACGAGAAGTTTCAAGCATCTCTGTTTGTACAGGTCAACGAGAGACGAAGCAAGTTGACAGTGGGCAAAGTCACGGTCTTGGAGTCGCAGACCATCGTTGGCATTCACGGCGCGGACGGGACTGACGGAGAGCTGGACGTCCAGCTTGGTAGTGTGGAGGGCCAAGGATCCAACATGCTGGTGGGATATTCTAGGGGCATTGACCTGAACGCGACCTTCTTCAAGAAAGATAGGTAGTTCCTGATTCCAGAATCCACGGAGCGATGTCACAGCAATATGGCAGAGGAACATCATATGGAGAACATCGGTTGCAATACAAGCATCGTTCAGACTACAGCTTGTTATCTTCGGGCTCTCTGTAGTGGTAACCTAATAGAAGAAATTTAACCATTGGAGTTCTACATGCTTTTGCGGTGACTTCAAAGGCCCCGTCTTGATTCTTTACTCCTGAGATCCCAAAATGGCTCGCTCGTTAATTTTTTCCACATCCATGCTACTTGTAGACTAATCACGCCAGGTGGGCATATTCCTTGTTGAAAGCCCGTCCAATAACCATTCTACGGATTTCCGAAGTTCCGGCGCCAATCTCATATAACTTCGCACTGATGATAGTTAGTACAAAAGAGCTGGGAGGGACATTAGATTGATCACTTACTCTCTCAACAGCCTTGAAGCTGGCATTTCCTCGACGTATCCCATGCCACCGAGGAGCTGGATGCTGTCCAGGGTACACTCTGTCGCCCTCTCGGCAGCATACAAGATGGCACCGGCGCAGTCCTGTGTCTTGATCAACCCCTCCTCGTCAACAGCCTTAGCCGTGGCATATGTGTATGCACGAGAAGCCTGGAGTTTGGTGTACATGTCTGCCAGCTTGCCCTGGATGAACTGGTTCTGAGCGATGGGGATGCCAAACTGCTTTCGCTGGTGGGTAAAGGGGAGAGCGACGTCCAGCGCAGCCTGCATGATACCAAGAGGCCCAGCGCTGAGAACGAGACGCTCAAGGTCCAGGCCCTCCATCAGGACTCTGACACCACCATTGATCTTGCCGAGGATGTTCTCTTTAGGCACGAAGACGGAGTCGAAGTTGAGCTCGCCAGTGTTGCTTCCGCGCATACCCATCTTGTCGAGCTTCCTTGCGCAGCTAAAACCCTTGGTCTTTGTCTCGACAAGGAACGCCGTGACACCCTTGGACCCCTTCTCGGGCTCCGTCTTTGCGTAAACGACGATGACGTCGGCGTCGGGACCGTTGGTAATCCACATTTTGGAGCCATTTAGGACGTAGCCGCCATCAACGGCCGTCGCCGTCGTCCTCATGCTTACGACATCGCTACCAGCCCCAGACTCGGACATTGCGAGCGCGCCGACGCTTGTGCCGGCAATCAAACCGGGGAGATACTTCTGCTTCTGCTCCGGAGAACCATTGAGCTGGAGCTGGTTGACGCAAAGTTGAGAGTGGGCGGCGTAGCTGAGACCAATTGAGCCAGATGCACGCGAGATCTCTTCCATGACAACGCAATGCGCCTGGTAACCCAGGGCCAGGCCACCGACGTCTTCATCGGCAGTCATGCCTAGGAAACCAGCCTCGCCCAACTTTTGCCACATCTCGTTGGGGAAGGCATTGCTCTTGTCCGTGTTCGCGGCGACTTCTTCTGTGATCTCGCGCCTTGTGAACTCCTGCACACGCTCGCGCAGCTCGGTAAGGTCGGCTTGTGACGGTGCTTCGAATCCCTTGGGATGCTTAGAGGAGTGGTGTCGGGTCTGGAGGGCGGGGGCGGCGAGGGGTCGCAATTGACGCGCTGGCCGCGCCAACGATCTGAAGGCTCTAACACTTGACATGGCTGTAGATTTTGCGACTAAATAGAGAAGCAAATGAGTTGAGAAGAGGGAGAGAATGAAAAACAACAACTTCTCCTACGATTGATGATCCAAGTTACCTTAGCTTGACGCCGAGCTGGAGGTCCAACCGGGACAAGAAGGTGCTCGGCTATGGGCGGCTTCCAGCGGGCCGAGGTGAGCGATTGGACGTCACTGGAATGGTATCCCGTCAGCAAGCGAGCGGCCCTCGAACCTCTCCTTCCCGTCTTCAAGGGCTTCGTCGGCACATGCAGTGCTCCTCCTCCATACTCTCGAACTACCGCAACCTTGGGATCTTCCTTTGTAAACGTCCAAAATATGTCTTTCTCAAGGTCATCGAGAGATGTGCTGCTTCTGTCGCGTCAATTGACCCGGCCGGGGTTCAGGGCACCCCGCCTCCCGCGATCCGCCCGTACCGTTGCGACCTTCACGCCGCCGCACCAGGCGAGCGCCATCTCCCGAATCCAGACCAATGTCGATCCGATGTCCGAGGAGTACAAGGAGAACGAGAAGCACATGGGGGATGTGATGAAGAAGATGCAGGACTTGACACGAAAGGTGCACCTGGGTGGCTCAGCAAAGGCGAGGGAAAAGCACCTGGCGAGGAAGAAGATGCTGCCGCGCGACCGAGTTACTGCATTGGTTGACCCTGGCACGACATTCTTGGAGCTGTCGCCGCTGGCCGCCCATGAGCTTTACCCCGAGGCTGATGTTCCTGCGGGAGGCATCATAACAGGTGTTGGTGTCGTCGAGGGCGTAACGTGTGTGATCGTGGCCAACGACAGTACAGTAAAGGGCGGAACGTACTACCCAATTACCGTCAAGAAGCATCTGAGAGCACAAGCCGTGGCCCAGGAGAACAAGCTGCCGTAGGAACTCCATTATCTACCCTCCTCGGCTAATGATTACTGATACTGACAATGACACAGTTGTATCTACATGGTTGACAGCGGTGGTGCTAACCTCCCACACCAGGCGGACGTGTTTCCGGATCGCGACCACTTCGGACGCATCTTTTACAACCAAGCAAGGATGAGCTCCATGGGGATTCCCCAGATTTCGGTCGTAATGGGTCCGTGCACTGCGGGTGGTGCTTATGTGCCGGCAATGAGTGACGAGAGCATCATTGTCGAAAACCAGGGCCACATCTTCCTCGCTGGTCCGCCGCTTGTCAAGGCTGCCACTGGCGAGGTGATCAGTGCGGAGGAGCTGGGAGGCGGCAAGATGCACTCATCTGTTTCAGGAGTGACGGATTATTTGGCAGTCGACGATGCTCATGCTATTACACTCGCGAGGCGGAGCATCAGCAACCTGAACTGGCCTACAAAATCACCTTCAACAGCGGCCCCCGTGAAGGACTATGCCGAGCCTCTTTACTCGCCGGACGAGCTTTTGGGTATCGCCAGTACCAACCTCCGGAAGCCCCTGCCTATCAAGGAGGTCATTGCTCGCATTGTCGACGGATCCGAATTCTCCGAGTTCAAGCGTGACTTCGGTTCAACCCTGGTCACCGGATTTGCCCATATCCATGGCTACAAGGTTGGTATTGTGGCCAACGATGGTATCTTGTTTGCCGAATCGTCTGTGAAGGGTGCACACTTCATTGAGCTCTGTGCTCAACGAGGCATCCCGCTAGTCTTCCTCCAGAACATCTCCGGCTTCATGGTCGGCTCCGCCGCCGAGCGTGGTGGCATCGCCAAGCACGGCGCGAAGCTTGTTACTGCTGTTGCATGCGCCGATATTCCCAAGTTTACCGTCGTTGTCGGAGGCAGCTATGGTGCCGGCAACTACGGCATGTGCGGTCGAGCTTACAGCCCCCGTTTCTTGTGGATGTGGCCGAACTCACGCATTGGTGTCATGGGCGGTGAGCAGCTGGCTGCTGTTATGGAGACTGTTGGCAAGGCCGATCCCGAACTAAAGGAGAGGATAGAACGGGAAAGCGACGCAACATACTCGTCAGCCAGATTATGGGTCAGTCATTGCGGTTCACACGCCACGCAACTTTTGCTAACCATGCTCATAGGACGACGGCATTATCCCTCCCCAGCACACCCGTCAATATCTGGGCCTAGGCCTGAGAGCAGCAATGTCAGGCCGAAATGAAGTCAAGGCCGGTGATACCAAGTTTGGCGTGTTCCGAATGTAAAGAGGGTAGATCTTGGTCATTTAGAAACGGGAGCGCAAAATAAGCCATTTACTATTATTTCCTTCTGAACTTCGGCACCTCTCCGTACAGTGTTTCCTAAGCTTGGCGATATAATTGGTAATCGGTAGTGAGTGCTAATTCTTTATCATTTATCCGCTCTGTGGCAAGAACGTATAATGACTGATGACCGATTGTCGATCCAAAGACCACAAACGAGCCATCAGCCCCCATATTACTTGCAATAGCTTACGTTTTATTAAGTGCACCTAGCTGGTTGACGAGGTTCTAGGTTCATCCGGGTGCCTTGCATGCATTCCCGCCGTTGCAGTCAACGGCGTAGTGGAGAACTTTATTCGGGGCCCTGAAGATGGCAGTTTGGCAGACGGTGAAATTCCCCATTCATATTCGCAAAACTCGCATCTTCCACGAAAGTAAATTCCCCGGCCGGAGCAGACTGCCAAACAGAGACAGACATGGCAGCATACGGGGAAGGTTTCTGCAACAGATCGGGAAGGAGCCAATCGCACGGAGCTCTCTCCGGAGACCCACCGGCCAAACCCTTGCCGAACGCCGGCGGTGAAAGCCCCGGACGTGTTGCACAACCACCTAGCCTTAGGTTCTTCCCCTTTCCGTGGCCTCTTCAACCCATCACTCACATATCCCCATGTCTACGCATTTCATGACACCTTTCCACAAGTCTTGCAGATCAATCGTCAGCAAAAACGAACGTGGCCACAGCTACGGCCGTCCACGTGCTCATATTTGTGTGACGTTTATAATGGGTCTTTGGTGTTCTACACGAGACGTGCGGATCAATTTTCTTCAAGACTTATCCATCGCTTGTTCTACTGGCTTCGAGAAGCACGAAAGTACCTGACATAACCGGATAGGGTCTGGCCGAGGTTGAAAGTATGGGATAGATGGTGTTGTGGTGACACGCGACTAAAGCTGCCCGAGAAAAAAATAGAGCCCGTCTCCGGCCACGGCAGCAAGGAGCCGATCTCATTCGCTTGTTAGTTTCAAGCCGAATATCTCACCACCCGGTCAGAGATGACTGATCATATTTTCTTCCGTTTCTTCTCACCCACGTGGTGTGCATCGTGCTTCTCTTATTCCCAAACAAGGCACCCTTCACTTTTACCTTCTCTCCCAGGGCAGACCGCGATTTGTGGGCAACCCATGCAGTACACTCACACCCCAGTCTCACCGATCGCCAACCCATGCCTCACCGGTATGCGCTCACCGGGCTAGGCCCTGCAGTTTGTTCTTTTGAACTTTTTTTTTTGCTGTTGTCTTTAGGGCTACTAGTACGGATATGGGACCCGGATAGTGGGGTGAGTGTCTTGATGCCGGCTGCGGCGGGCGCAGCAGGTTTGCCTTTTTGGCACCCTTTCGAAGGCGGTCTCTTTTTTTCCTCTCTGTCAATATCTCTCTCTCTCAAGCCTTGGCTCGGAGATGTCGATGTGCTACTGCATGAAACAGAACCGGTCAGTGAAAGATGTTGGATGGTGCCCGGAGGCTTGGAAGAGACGTCAACGCCGAGAGGCCTGATGGAGGCAGACCGGCGGCTCGAGTGAGCGTTCTTGCCAGCAGGCTCTCGTGATACGGTTCACCGCCATAATATCAAGGGCGGGTATATGAAGAGGGAAGCCCTAGTCGGTGAATTGGCTCGATCTGGTTTCGTCGACCCAGACTAAAGGCAGTTGCCGAGGAGAGTTCTTTGTTCTAGAAACAAGCCATCCCCAAACAAGACAACCTCATCCCTCTCTGGGCCGAGGATACATATCATCAACTACCTTCATTCCTCATCTTCTTACTGTCAATTCGTCTATCACTTTAGCTCAAATCATCTGAAAAAATCCCCCATACCCTTTTCATCACCACAAGTTGAGACAAAATGGCACCCTCTGCGTTACCGGAACAGCCCCAGATGTACGCATCAACCATCTCGGAGATGGCACGCGGCCGCAAGTTCTACCCTTCCAACAAGTTCATCATCAGCTGCGGCACCGTCACAATCGACATGCGGGCACGGCGCGTACTCCTCATCTACAACAAGAGACACGCAATTTACCAGATGCCCAAGGGGCGGAAAGATATCGGCGAAGGCCTCCTCGCAGCGGCGTTACGCGAGACCCGCGAGGAGACTGGAGTCACGGTCAAGCCCATTACCCTGAGACTCAGCACGAGAGCTACACCTGCGGGTGGTCCCTCTGGTGCCCCGGAAGTGTCCGAGGAGATCACCGATACGGAACCGATTGCCGTGTGTCACTACCCAGACCCGGCCACCGGAGCTATGAAGATGGTGTTTTACTTTGTTGCGGAAGGGAATTGTGATCTTGGGCCGGAGGGTTGGACGGGAGAGGACAGGGTCAAGTTTGATGTCAGCTGGGTTGATGTTGATGAAGCTGCGGACAAGTTGGCTTTCAAGGAGGATGGCATGGTCGTCACCAAGGCTCTGGAGGATTTGAGAAAATCGGGGTATGATTTCTGATTTCTTGGGGTGCTATGTGTTTCTATTGGGTCGGAAAAGTTGGGCGTTGGCCATTGGAAAACGGGAGGCACGATTTGCGTGGGGTAATTTGACTTGAGCACAACCGCGGCAGCATCTGGTGTTGGTATTTGTCGGGATTCTCTCCTTTTTCTGGGCTGGAGAACATCTGGAGGCAAAGAAATTTGAACCAAATTGTTTACAGGAAGCAGTTTCCAATTGAAGTTTGTTCCGGTCACTTTGGTGCATCTCAGTAGCCTGGTGAGCGCCATGAGAACTACCAACCCGATGTCTCGAGGACCACCCCGAGGACCTTCCTATTAATTGTCAACGAAGAAAAAAAGGTCTAAGTGGAAGAAAAGAGAAAACATGAGGAAACGGAACTTCGGCCGCGGACCAACTCCCGAACATAGCAGGAGTCTGACAGCTTGGCGGTGACAGGGGCTTCCCATCCATCTCGGATGCATTATCCAAGTCTCCCCGGCGACATACTTGCCCCCAACTTGCGATCGATTCCTGGGAAGAAAGTTCAATCTGACAAACCAGAACGCTGGGTCTTGCAGGACGGGCTGGCTGCGGTGGTCCAGCCCACCGCTGCCTGCGGCCGCTTCCCTGCCATTAAGACATCTGATGAAATAGAGACGTGCGGGAGAAAATGGCTGAGAATTGTCCAGGTTTATTGCATTCAATTCCGATTGATGATTGGTTTGCGTTATATTCACCGCGTGTATGTCTCGTCGTGCCGTCCCTTGGCGTCTCTCATTTCCATGAGTACGATTCATTCACCGCGATGAAATCGAGGAAAGACAAAAGGGATAGAGACAACATTGTTGACCGAGAAAGTTCAAATACCTAGCTGCATGGATCTTTTCTTTTTGCGAGTCTTTCCTGACTAGCAAGCGCAATTGGTGTCTCGGGTCGACCGCGACTGCCGAAGCCGGACGGCCGAACTCGGGACCGGCGCCGGCAACAATTAACTTTGTGGGGCCGATCAGATCCACCACTGGCGGGGTCGACCTCATTGCCGAATGGAAGCAAGTGGTGACATCACCCCCACGAAGCCCCTCCCGAGTCCCAAGCTCCTGAAGGGACCCTCATTGCTACCCCTCCATGGAGACAGTCGAGGACCGCGGCTCCCCCCCTCTCTTGCCAATCGCGAACAATGAAATCGTCCAAACAGAAGGGGCGCAAAAAAGCTTCCGTTAGCTTCGTCTGTACTGTAAACGTCAGCGAAACGGAGCAGCTCTCGACCCCGCCAAACGCAGCTTAATCCGTCATTGACTCTCCACTTCAAGGAGCCCGCACCGCAGCGTATTACCTCCACTTGACGTTTGAAGCATAATAAATCCGATGTCTTCCCACACTGCTAAAGCTGCGCGCTCCGCTTCCCAAGCTTTATTTAGATCGTCGTCCTTGATTCCCAAACAACCTCACTCCCCCACTCCTGCGATAGCTTCCAGATCAACAACCACGACAACACCAAAGAGCTTTGCGACTTGCTGCAGCTCAATCAACAAATCAACACCCCTCACACAACAAATTCACAAGTCGTTTTCGACGCAAGCCGCCAAGATGTCGACTATGCCCGCTCAGCACGGTCACAGCGAGGGATGCTGCAACATCCCTCCTGTTATCTCCAAGGGCTACGATGCCAAGGGCAGCTACGAAGAGATTGGAGGAAAGAAGACCTGTAAGTCAATTTCCAGGCCTGCAGAGCCAATGCGTGACAATGCTAACTCATTCGCTATAACAGACGTCACCGGTCCCGCCGACGCAAAGAAGGCCATCGTCGTCACCTTTGATATATTTGGATTCTTCCCCCAGACACTCCAGGGAGCCGACATCCTGGCCACCAGTGGCGCCGAGAAGTACCGCGTCTTCATTCCAGACTGGTTCGCTGGCGAGCCCTGCCCCATCGAGTGGTTCCCTCCCAACACCGAGGAGAAGCAGAAGAACCTCGGCGGTTTTTTCCAGAAGTTCCCTCCACCCAAGATTGCTGAGCAGACCCCCGACTACGTCAAGGCTATTCAGTCAAAGTACTCGTCCATTGAGTCTTTTGCTACCGTTGGTGTAAGCCTTCCTTCAGTATGCCACAGACCTATTGGGTGAAACTGACACATATTGCAGTACTGCTGGGGCGGCAAGGTCGTCTCTCTTGTGGCTTCTGGCGACAAGAACCCCTTCAAGGTCGCCGCCGAGATCCACCCCGCCATGGTCGAGCCCGAGGATGCCAAGGGCATCAAGATTCCCCTCATTATGCTCGCTTCCCAGGACGAGCCCGAGGAGGATGTCAAGAAGTTCGAGGCGAACCTTAACGTAACCAAGCACGTTGAGACTTTCAAGGACCAGATCCACGGATGGATGGCCGCTCGCTCTGACTTGGAGGATTCCAGAGTCAAAGAGGAGTATACCCGTGGCTACAAGACAGTCTTAGAGTTCTTTGGAAAGAACTTCTGAAGTCCCTAGCAGATGTGATTATTATAACCATCAATGAGTAATGAAAAATGAAAAATCCCCGATATCTCTGCATAGGACCCACGCGAAATCTCCCGTACATTTACTCTGGCATCACTATGTTTGCGTTCCATCAGAGAAATTAGGTTTAGACAAGAGACATTTCCGGCAAATTAAGTAATGACTGGTTAAGGGAAAAGTCACAACAGCTCATCTTTGTGATAGGTCCACATTCCTCTGGCCCAGTCTTTGAATCTCCAGAAAGTCTTCGACAGAATCTGTACAGTTTCGTATTGATTCTGCCCCCAGAGAGCACCGTTCTCTCTGAGGAACAAGAAAATGGCCAGATTCCCATTTTCGGCCGCGGAAAGGATGGGACTCTTCCCATTGATATCCTCTTTCATGTTCACGTCCTTGCGAGTAGCCAGATACCTCAAAAATTCCAGAGCACCCTGATCGATTGCCTTCTGAAGCACTTCTTGGCCATTGAAACAGTCTTGATCGGCTCTGGGATCATCCAATATAATTTTGATGATTTCTCCTCGGAGTCGAAGATCCGAAGGCAGATCGGAAGGCACCTGCAATGCATGCCACAGAACAGTCCGACCGTCGTTGTCCTTCGAGTTCACATCCAGTTTTGTTGACTCTAACAGCGTTTTGAAAGAATTCGTCAATCCATGCTTCAGGGCGTAAAATAGCAAACTTCTTCCCTTGTCGTCTTTTGAGCACATATCAAAATCGGGTCGGCAGAATGCCTGAATTATTGCAGGATGAAAAGCCTTCTCAGCGTAAACCCACAAGAGGTTCGATCCAGTACCCTTGTCTATGACGGGATCGGCGCCGTAGGCCAAAAGCTCCCAGATAATGCGGTTGTTTGGTTCCCCATCTGCACAGGCCCTCGCTAATGGTGTCTGGCCTCTCAAATCAGGAGAATCGACCTTGCAATGCCTCTTCAAGAGCAATTGTACGGCATCATGACTGCCGTGACTCACGGCCCACGATAATGGGGTTCTTCCATTGATGTCGGCCCCCTCTATGTCTGCCTTGTTGTCCAGAAGATATTCCATGACCGCGATATTGCCGCTGTTGACAACCATTAGTAAAAGACGCCCCTCATTAGTTCCTTCACCTTCTATGTCGATCCCCCTCTCCAGCAGAAATTCGAGAATCGGTACGTTGCCTTTGAGAATGGCACAGTAAATGAGGGTATGACCATCCCAGTTTGGGGCTGTAATGTCCGTTCCCATCTCTATGAGTAGCCCAAGAATTGATGCGCTATCTGCTAGCACAGCCACTGGTGCGTGAGTGTGGCCGTCCAGAGCTTGCTTGTTCAAGTCGCGACTTCTAAAATCGGTCTCACGCTTGGTGGAAACCCACGAAGCGATCCAGTTGCTGACCATGACAGTCAGGGATGCGGGAGTCTCTTCATCCACGACCTAAGTGTCAACTGAAGCCCCATGTGCTAAAATTACTTTGGTAGTGGAGTTCAATCCGAGGAAGATGGTCTGCTCGAGAGGGGTTGGTCCCATCTTGTCGATCGTATTAAGAGTGGCCCCCATGTTGAGAAGTACTCTCAAAGTGGCCGCCAGCCCTTCGTCCAAAATCGAGATCTCATCGAGAGTGAGGTTTCTTCCTCTCAAGCGAAGCATCACCAGCTCCTTTATCGTATCGTCCAATGAGCTAGGCTGCGTTCCTACAGCCAAGTCCCGAAGGCGTGGAAACATTCCGTATTTCCGATGAGCCCAGTAGCCCAGTAGCCCAGTAGCCCAGAAAGAGTCGGAATAGCAGTGGTATCCATTCAAGTTGCGCGTCATCACCTCTCTCAATGAAGTGAAGAACTGCCATCCAACTGGCCCTAGTCGCGAAGTTGCTTGTGTCTCTCGCCCTATGATCTCCCATCCGACTGGCCCTGATCACGAAGTCGCTTGTGTGTATCGCCCTATGATCTTCATGTAACAACGCCATATGAGCCATGCTGATGGGCTGCAGGAATATAGACGCCGCATTGTCCTGTTCGGGCTCGTTGTCAAGTTTTCTCTTAGCGCCAAACTTGATGAGCACCTCTAGAATGTCCTTATCCATGTGCTCTATGGCCTTGCTCATGACCAGCCGGAGATGTTGAAGTGAGATCTTTTGCCGTGAAGTGATGGCTGGCGATGATGATGCGACTTGCGGGTGTTCGATGGCATCGATATCGAGGTAGAATTTGACAAGGTCCGCATGACCCGCATAAGCAGCCCACCACAGCGCTGTTGTGCCATTCTCGCCGGTCGAGTACATCTCATCTTCTGGGAAAACAGATGTGGTAAACAGTTGAGCAATACCGTAGTATGCTGCTGTGTGTGCTGAATTACAAGGGAGAAATGGCAACCGCCGCAGTCTTCTGAGAGCCGAAAGGGATCTATTGCGCATAGCTTGGTTTTGAAGGAATCCAAGAGCCCCTTTGGGGACGGTAGAGCTCGCACGGGTGTGCTCCCCCCAGTTAAGAGTTGCATAAGTGAGGAAAGGAGTCGAGTCTTCCCAATCTTGCGTTTCATAATCGAACGAGGCAGAGTCATTAGAGTTGCCGTCAAGGTTGTCGATGGAGAGGTAGCTCACACATGCAGTCGCAATCTGAGAATCGATTTTGGGGAATAGCTCATGTCGTTTCCCTTCAAAGTACTCCTGTGTAGTCTGGTGTACAAGTCGCATCACGCCACTCTCTGCTCACTGACCGTAACAAGTCCGGCGCATACGGATATCATGGTTTCGATAGGCGTGATGTTGTCCTGGTCGAGTCTTGAATGGCCTTCTTCGACAGCAAGAGCATGTTGTAGTTCTGTGACTTTCAAGGGTCTCTTGGCGCCAATGATCCAAGAGAGAATTTTCAACGCAGGCTCGGTCTGCTCGGAGGGTTGAGATCGCACCCGTTTCATAGCCTCATCGTATACAGCTGAGTAGGCGTTCTCCTTTTCATTCGTTGACCCAAAGGCTCTAAGTGCCTCCTTGAGCTTTTTTGCGTTCAGCTTGTTGGACCAGGCGTCTATGAGCAGCCTAGCCAAAAGGAACCTGTCCATATTAGCACCCCTCTCATGATTTGTGTAGGAGACTATAGCAAGTCTTCAAACTTACATGCCGTTAACTTTCATCACGATAACCTTCCTGATTTCTTTCTGCATATCGAGGTTGCCACGGACAAAGCTCTGCATATGGGTCATACGGCCTGACACGTATCTCATCACGTCTTCTTCAGTGGCCCGAATCTCTACAGCGATAGAGTTCGCAAACTCCGCCGCCTGAATAATCTCTGGGATATCCCTGATGGTTGCGAAGATGTTGACTTGAGATACTTGTTGTAGACGGAAGACTTCTGGGAGGAAATCCAGTCGAGCGTTTCTTTCACACTCATCCAAGGCGTCAATGACGACAAACACTCTGTCATAACAGGAAGCTATAGTCTGTAGCATTTCAATGGTCTCTTGTTTTGACCTAAAGGTGTTGCGTTTCTGATGAGTGCTGTAGAGCTCCTCAAGCCTAGGAGGGATCGTCGAGAGGGATTGCGCCAGCTGCTTCGCCAAGCTGGATAACAGATCGTGGCAATCTTGGCGCTCGGTGTCCTTGAAGTTGCAATAAGTATAGGCTATCCCGACCCTTGGTTTCTCCTCAAATCAGCGAATCAGATGGTCTATGACGACGGAAGTCATGATCGTCTTGCCGGCCCCTGGCATGCCCCGGCATAACAGAGTCTGGCCTTCATTAGATATTACCCATTCGAATTCGCTGGACTCTAATAGCCATGAGCTTGTGTCTTTTTCTCTTGTAGAGAAGTAGTCTCGCTGTTGAGATGAGTAATTGGACGATGTCAGCCATTCCAGTATTTTCTCTCGGTGTTTGCCAACTTGCTCGGTGTACATAGACGCCACTGTCTTATTTGTACTCTGGATGGCTCGACTACAGATTATTATTAGTAGCCGATACAATAACGCTAGCTGAATCACATACTAACCCATTCGACGCATTCTTCAGGTCGTTTAGCAGCTGTATCTTGATAGAGAGACTCAATTGGATGTCTTTCATTTCTTTGGGATCCATCAGTAGCCGCTGAACAATCACGTCAGGCTTCAGCTTGTCCCTTTTTCTCGCATTTGACAGTTCATCAAGAGCTTTGAACTTGTCCAACTTTTCTTGCAACTTCGTGAGGAGCTTCCAGGATCCTTGAATTATAACATCCAGGATGGGTTTCTCTTCGTCATTGAAATTCTGCTTCGTCCGAGCAGTGTCCTTGAGAATGGATACGAGAATCTTCACGCTGTAACGGGGTAATCAGCATACTTCTCGGAAAGCAAGGCGAATACCTCAGGCGCTTGAGAGAAATTGCTGTGATACTCTTTCGCCTTGTCTATGACGGCTAGGAAATCGCCGACACCAAATCCGAAACTCATGCTGCGCAGTGTTAGGCGGGTATGGTCGTAAACACATGAAGTCGAAGCAAATAGAAAGGGAAGCAGACAGATGTGCATGGGATAGTGCTGCCTTTGGGGAAATCACACTCCAGATATGATATCACATTCGTGCTCAGCCGCACCAAGTTATCCAGGCGGGCTGTGTGGTGGCTGCACTAGCTTTCTACGTAGGCTGGAGGTATCACAGGCCTTCCTGTTATGCATGTTGTCGTAGCTATTTCTACAAGGCTATGCTAGGCGGACTACGACAGGAAAGGTACTAACACGCCTACTACTGTTCAACGTTTCCAGTCTGCTGAACGCGACATCCTCTGCATGGTGGCTGTCTACTCGCCAATGGTTCGCCACTGAGCCTCATGCCACCCACCCATAAGCTCTTGGCTCTGAATCAACTCTGATCCAAGAACGGAACTGTCTCACAAAGCCTGGCGAAGGGAGAGGCTGAATCTACTGAGAAAGGCATATATTGGGAAAGCCAGGTAGAGAGGCTAAGAGTACGAATCGTGGTGTAGGATTCTTGTGAAGCTGAGGTTTGGCATCAACTCAATTTTTAAGAGGCAAATCTAGGCATTGCAACTACTCTCTATGAATTACAGGGTAGTCGAGGCTTTTTGTGACGCCGTAGATTGGGCAGCCGGACTAGGTAGATCGTACTTGATACTGGATCTTTAACTTGAAAAGAGAATGTTTGAAAGTGTGGGCCTATGAATCAGCGGGGCGAACGGTACCTTTCGGCTGGCTTCAAGCTTGATAACTATATATGGAACTATGAAGATCGGGAAGTGAGAGAAAGTTGAATTTGGCGAAACCCATCGACTCCTCCGTAGTCGAAGTAAGTGGAAGGGCCATCACTGCCCAGCACCGCCTATCCTATCTAAGTTTGCCGCCAAGTGATCAATATTCGAACAGGAATACACAGTAGTCATACAAGAGAGCCAAAGCGAAGCGCCTTGAGCAAGAAGACGTTTGAACGTCAAACAGAGCCTGAAATCTGATCAATAATCTTCAGTCCCAGTGTCCGGGAAGTATGAACAGTATCAGGATGACTACAATACTGCAGAATCTCCCGTCGATCCGGCAACTTGGTTCGATTTGGCGCTGATACTAAGATCTGGTGATAGATTAAATGCAAATTTGCGAGGTATTGATTTAGCGGGAATAAACATCGAACTTAAACTCTCCTCTTTCAGCTTAAATTGAGGGTGTTAACTCAGGAGCCCGAGATACTTTCAGGTCAAAAGATCAAGTCACTTATAACGATGGAGCAACTAGTCCCTCTGCTCTGACCCACGACCAATAGATTTCCTCGTCCCAACCTCATTCTACAATCCGAGCATAGCACCATCGCCCTTCAACCCACCGCCTCCTCCTCCTCGGCGAAACAACCTCAAACCCCTTCCCCTGAACCACCGAGATACCAGCCCCATACCTCAACAACACCCCAAGCACCCTCACATCCTCCGCCCCCAAAGCATACCCGACAGCAGTCTCTCCCCTCCCATCCCTCCAATTCACATCAACACATCCCCGTCCACACAAAAACTCCACGAGATCCGCAACCCCAGCCGCAGCAGCAAGATGCAACAGCCCCCTACCCTCCCCATCAACATCCTCAACCCTCACCCTCTCGTCTTCAAGCAGCACAAACAAGGTATCCGTATCAGGCACAAAGATCCGGCCGGACTTAATCCACGCACAGAGGGCATACCAAACCGGTGCCCGAAGATCCCCGTCTTTGAGGTTCATGTCTACGTCCGGGGCCGTCATCAGCAGACGGGCCACTGCCGGGTTGATTGTTTCCGCGGCGTATGATATTGCCGTTCTACCGCTCGCGTCTGGGAGGTTGATGTCGGCTTCGTGGGTGAGGAGTAAGTTTACCGCGTCTAGGTTTCCGCGCCGGGCGTGTTCGCAGAGGGGGGTGGTTCCTTGGGCGGACAAGGTATTTGGGTTCGCTCCCTGTTGAAGGAGGTTTCGTATTTCGTCCAGGAACTTCTCATCGGTGATTTCGTGGAGCTTTTTGTCCAGGACTGTCTCTGCGCTTGAGGCGTTTACGCGGACCGGTTCTTGCTCGACAGGTTCGGGATCTTGTATATCGAGAGACGCTTCGGTCGTGGTGTCAGTGACCTCGACCCATCCCTGATCAATAGCTTCATGGGACTTTGGATCCAAGGAGGTCCCCATGTTGGGTTTGCCGGTAGTTTCAAGGAGTTGTCGGTCCAAAATGGCATCTACCCCGGAACCGTATACCTCAGGCTTGATCGCCGGAGCAACCTCAGCCACCTCGCGCCGCCGGGCCTCCGTTTCCCACACTTCGGGCCTGGTATTAATCTCACGAACCATCGTCGGTGCTGCTGGAAAGGTGAAAGTCGAAACGTCAGAGAACCCGTGATGAACGAGATTCACGCCCCAGAAGCTGGAAGCAGATGGCTTACCTGCTCCTGTTGTAATATCCTACCTCGAAATATACGCACTAGACGAAGGATCAAACCCCAAGGGAAAGCGAAAACCTGAGATGATTTCCCCAAACCGACGTAAGCACGGGTTTTGTTGGGCCGACAAAAGGCAGCCTTGTCAACGACTGAGACGCACACGCACACGCAAACCACACACACACCCGCGACCCAACCCCATGGGACGCATACGCCCAGCCTATAACAAGGCAAACCAAGACCAAATCCTCCAACACCTCTTCACACCTCCAAGCCTCGCAATTCGTCCATTCGCCGCGCTCTCAGCGTGTGGATCTTTTTGCTTTTAGGGGGTGGCACTTGGTGGGTTACACACCAGGCAGCTATGAGCATTGCTTCTGCGTCACAAGGGCCACGCGCGAGGGGCTGCTCCTACTGGACCAAGTCAGAGAGACTTGGCCATCCTCACCTGTGTCTGGCCTCCTCATCATTGCCTCAACTATGCTTACAATGCAAAAAAAAAACAAAAACGTCTGTGAATCTGGGACAATTTTTCATTCTTCTTTCATACATCAATTGGCTTTGAAAATGGCCAACTGCTACCATTAGCTAAGTTATCTCATGCAACCATCTCTGTCTGCCGTTGTCGCATATACGCGACCAAATCAAACGCCAAAAACCTCGCCAGTCCCTGGTATGCTGCCGTCCCGGAATGAGAAGAAGTTGAGAAGAAAGAAGATAGTTGCACAAGCAGCAAAAGAACCCCCCCCTATGCTCACGATGTGAGAGAAAAACAAACCAACAAGACCGAGTTTCACTTCCGCCGGCTTGTCATCTAGGCAACCAGGGATTGGGGCTCGGACTTCTCGCAGGTAAAGAGGTTGACGTGGTAGTCTCCACGAGCAGCGCAAGCCAGAATAGGCTTGTGCGGGTGGAAGGCAGTTGCTGCAATGGGAGAGCCCCTGTTCTGTTGAAGGAAGCTTGAGTAAGGCTCGACTCGGGACAACTCTTGACCGTCAAAGTTGAAGACCTTGACGGCATGGGCAGAGGTACCACTGCAACTAATTATTAGTTTCAATGTTGCAGAAAGAGGGTTTGGGTGATGACTTACACAGCAAACACTGGTAGGTGTTCATGCGTGCTGGCTGTTCGAAGCGTGTCTCGAGTTGTTTGGTAAACGTGAAGAGGTCGATCCATGCGAATATCCCACAGTTTGACCTTGCCATTCCTGCTTGCGCTAAGCAGTTCTCGTTGTCCGCCACGCTGCAGATGGACGCTCTTGATCCATTGCCTATCCGTTTCGTCCTTCCACTTCTTGATCATGGAGTCCTGAGGTCTGATGCGGGTGTCGAAGACGCGAACAGCGCCGTCACCAAAACCAGCCACAACTGTGTGTCCGGTCATCTGGTCAGACGTCAGAGACGTAACACAAGAGCCAGACCGGGCGGGAATGTCGATGACGCATTTCTCAGCACCAGCGGACCACACCCGAATGACACGCACATCACCAGCCACGAGTACGCGGCCGAGTGACTGCTGCCAGTCAAACACCATGCCGGAGTTGACATTACTGGGCACCATGTGCGTAAGGGCTCGCCAAGACGAGGCCAGGTTGATGGATCTGTCGGAATCGTAGTTTTGGTAGATCCGGAGCACTCCATCTGACGAGCCAGTCATCAGGAATGCCTGGTCGTCTTCGTTGATGAACTTCATGTCACTGATCCTCGACCCTTCAGGATTTCCATTGGAAAACTTGCTCAGTCGGGCATGCTTCTTCCAATCCCAGACGCACACCGTGTTACCATCGTCTGCAACCGCAAGCTGGTCTTCAAACTGATGGAAAGTGAGTTTGGCGGGTTGTGAGCCATTGTTGGTGATGCCAAGCTGGTTATTCCACTTATGGCTACCGGCAAATTGCTTGAGTGGTTGTGTTTCGGTCAAGATGAAGTCGTTCCGGGATCTTCTCCAGAGCCGTTCGTTGTACTCGGTGCTGCCTGGTTCGTCCGACTCGCTCGGCTTCATCTGAGGCTCGCAGAAGTACTCGATAGACCATTCCAGGAAAGAACTTTGTAGTGGCATAGCTGGCGCTTCGCCCAGCTTACGATCCTCGAAACCAGTGGAGACGGGCTCTTTAGCAATGTGATAGTTGGCATGGATAGCCGTTGGGTCGCTCTGTTCTGGTGGGGCTTCAGCAAGCTCAGGAGCCTTTATCTTCTGGGAACCAACCCTATGCAGGCCGGGCGAAGGTGCCGGAGAGGAGTAGTTTGGCTTCTCGTTGGCATCAGCCTTTCCGTCACTGCCAAACAGTGGCAGCTGGAAAAGCAAGCTCGCCGTGCGACGCAACAGGCCAGGAGATGGCAGTGGTGGGGTAGCCAGCGAGTTGGAGACGCCAATCGCATTGCTTCTTTGGCTCAAGTGCAAGTGGTTTTTTGTTGATGCACGCTTTGCCCTCTTTCGAATGTCATCGATGAGGCTTTGCGCATGCTCACCAACGGGTGAAGCCATCACAGCTTGGTGGACATGGTCCACAATGACTGTAGCGTCACGCTGAACCTCAGGATGAGGATCAACATTCAGCATCAGAGCATGCTTCCAGCAGGCCGAAAAGACGGTGTTGTGGGCGAAACCGTGAACGTTGGGCTTGATGGTGCCGTCTGCGTTTCGGTTTTCTTTCCGTGCATAATGCAGGCCCATCTTGTGGTCCATGCCGTCCTGGCCTGGAGGGAACAATAGATATTCCCTTTCTTCTTGGAGCTGCTCATAAGCAGCAACAATGAACTTGCTCTCAAAGCGCAGAATGAACCTTGAGAGGAAGACAAGGAACTCACGGCGAACCATTGGGCTGCCGTCGTTGGCCATGTCCAGAAGTGTCCAGGCGATGGACTCTTCGATCCGAGCGACCTCATCCGTCAGGTCGATGATGCCCAAAAAGGTAGTCATGGAATACACCATGGCAGCTCTCACTTCAGGAACGGGATCCTTGGTCAGGAACGACAACTTGGCCGGCGCATTCTCTCTAATACCACGCCATTTGGCCTCTGGAAGTTCCTGCCACAGCTGACTGATGCAGAGACAAGACCACTGGCGCAGGAGTGGGTTCTCTTGGTTCTGCAGGTGCATTAAGCAGTAAGTCATTATGTCGGTTTGATTGCACACATGCTGCCCTGGCTTGTAATCCTTGCAAAGCATGGATAGAATGAAAGCGCACATCGCCTTATGCTCAGCTTCATTAACGACTGGCAAACCCTCGGATGGCTTCAATATCTGGGCAAAGTAGTTGTACCCGCTGTCCTTGATAAGGTCCTGCTGGCAGGAAATATCCACAGCCAGAATACGGGTCCAGATGAAGATCATGACCGGTTTCAGTTCCGCAGCAGCGGACTGTAATAGCTTGAGGACATATGGGAAGATGCCTATGCTCAGAGCAAGCTGGACTGCCCATGGGCCCAGGTCAAGGAATCTTCCGAGCAAGATGAGCGCCCTAACTCTATGCTGTTGACTCAGAAGAACTTGTAGCACCACTGGGAGCTGCTCAGGGGGCCTCTGAGACAGGGCATCACCACGGGTGAGGTAGACGTCGAATGCTGTCAGTTGTTCGGTAAAGAAGGTCGAGTTCTGGTACTCGTACTCGAGGCCTTCGTTCTCCTTCCTTTCCAGCATAGGCAGCTGGGCCAATGCCATGTCCACGGCCAAGTCCCAGCTTGCCCACAACGGGTGCTGTCGGGTCTCGGGGAGCTCGGGGAAAGACTGTGGGTGGCACCCGTAGACAGACATGATTCTCTGGGCCAGAAGAAAGTTGCGGAAAAGAGCGGCCACCATGAGATCCTGTCTGAAAAACTTCCGGAACAGGTGTCGGGGCAGTGTAGTCCAAGCGATTGTATCCGTAATGGCCGTGAAGATCCAGTTCAACTCGCCGAGTGGCGTTCTTCTCTCCTGTAGCCTGCCAGGCAGCTTTTTGGCGCGCTCCGGTGTGAGATTTGTCTTGAGAGGGTTCTGGAGAACGAAGAACCAGAGAGCCATCTCGATAGGGGTGGTGAGACATGCCGTGAACAGATCGGCTGGGAGGAGCGGGTTCGTAGGGAGATTCTCCTTGACGCCGCAGGCAGCCAAGTGGATGTAGGGCTGAAACACGGTCTTCTCATAGTTGGGGTCTCTTGCGGCAGCTTCTTCCTCTTCTTGTTCGTGCTTCTCGACAAATCTGTGGTAGTTGTTGAGGATATTACCAGCTTCAGAACAGTCCCAGACGTAAATCGTAGGGGCATGAAGCCACTGTTGAAGATCGTAGAGCGAAACTGGGATGTACTGGGTGTAGTTCTTATTAAACACCCAGATCTCGCCACTCGCAGTGGGTTTAGGTACTCCATGGCCGTTGTAATGAAGAAGAACCCGCTCATCCTTTGCGTTCCTACGCAGGGACTGACAGAACTTCTTCGTCTCTTCCACCGACGGATCGAGGTACTGCTTGTATCTCGTGCGTATAGCCAGTGTCTCGTACTGCGCCTGAAGGGCTTTGCCGATGTTCTCGAGGGCCTTCTGAGGTGGCGGCGTTGTAGGGTCTGTCCATGCTTCCAGTTTGGCGCCCGGGTTCGTCTTAAGCTGGTCGGGAGGCTCGACTGAAATATTAAGGCAGACGGCCAACGCAGCAGACACTGTCTTGAGTCTATCTCGCATGCGCCAGTCCTGCAGCTTGTGTAATGTCGCCTTGGGCTTGCCTGTTGTCTCGTGTCGCTTGTCGGTCCAATACATGTACCAATTCTGGAGGAAGGAGTCAGCACGGTTCGAGTTGCGAGTGGAAACCAACAAGTCCCAATGGCGCAGGGAAGCGATGTCTTCGCACTCAGGCTCGTCTGTATCCAAGATTGCCGACACGGCTATCGGCCCCATCCACCCGGGAGACTGCATCGTCTGAGAGGTCTAGATGGGGGAGGAATGTAGACTCGAGCCCTGGATACGGTCATGCCCCGCGTTGCCCCTCGGGATTGGATTCCGGACAACAGACTCCCAATATGGCGTGCAAGCCGGGAGAGAGCAGAGCACCAAGTATCCTTTCTTTGCGCGACGCGCGCCGCCAGGAGACTATGGTTAGACCAGTCCGGCTGGCCAGCGCCGCCACAAGGCCGCCAAGTGGGGAGGCGCAGAGCTCGGGGTGGGAAAAAGGAAGAAGGGCAAAAAGTGTAGATGGAGGCTATGGAAAAGGTTGCAACTCACATTTGCTATCTGGGCCAGTATTTCCGGCGACTCGTGATATTCATCGAAGCCATGTCTGGCGCCCCAATGCGGAATATCTTCTTCGGAGTGGTCAACCTCTTCAGGGCGGCTGACTCCAAATTCGCTCTTGGATCGCATCAGCAGCGGTTTCACGGATGGCCGCTTCGGTCGATCCGAATCCGATTGTTCGCCGGTAGAGAAGCCAGCGGCCAGGTTCTGCTTGTTGCCCGGGGCACTTGATGGGCGCCTTGCGTTGCTGTCATCGTGGCTCGTGGATCGTTGAAGTGCTAGAGGAGGAGGAGCAGCACCGGCGTAGGGTGAGGGTTGGGCTGTCGCATCGGGAAATGCGGAGGATCCGTTAGGACCCTGGGTTTGCGGCATGTTGTTGGGACTTCCATTAACTCCGAGCAGCGCAGTGCTGTTTGTCCTCCGCGAAATGCTGGCGTAATGTCGAGGTTGAGAAGTTGAGGGTGTGGGTTTGTTGGAGGAGCTCGACTGTCGAAGGTGACTGGCGGGCGAGGGGCGAGGATGGGTCTGATCTTGCGCAGCGGCAGCCGTCATCTTGACGGCGACACTGTCGTTGAAATTTGAATTTGGCGCGCAAACCACCTAGAAATCGATTACCGCGACGACATCTCGGTCGTGAGGTGTCGGGCGGGATGAGGTGGATGAAGATATCGGGTAGGCGATTGCGTCGGTGACGCGAATTTGGAGTTTTTGGAGAGGTTGACGGGAGTGACAGGTCAGATCGGGTCAGGTTGGCAGCGCAGCGCAGCGGCTAACACCCAACTTCAGCTCAGCGTGGGCAGGTCGGCAGGCAGGTCCACAGGGTGAGGTGAGGCAGAGGTGCACCTGGCCCGCGGTACACCGTAGAAGACCAGCCAAAATTTAGGAATGGCACCTTGGGCTGAGGTCAGCTTCGGCCACCAGCCTATCAGGTGCCGGGAACAATCACCTGCCTTCTGCTTCGCTCGCTCCGAAAGCTTCTTCCGATGTTCCGATAAAGGTATTCCTAATTGCCTATTTCTATTTGCCATGTCTTTTGATATATCAGAGTCACCATTGCTCATAGAAAACAGATGACGATTATATTCAATTTAGGAGCAGTGGTTCATCTCATCTCTCGAATTTGTACTCGGGCGCAGGTCACGTCCATCAACAACGAGAATAAGGTACTGCGTATGGATGGGAGATGGGAAATGGCAAAACGAATCAGAAATGATGGACGGGAGGCAATTGATGACCCGACCCTGACCGCCTTTCAGCTCCACATCTCCGCATTTCGTCCAGTCTCCCGCGTCCACTCTGGCGAAGCGCAGCAGGCAGGAACAGATCCGAATCGGGAATCGGGGGGAGATGAGGTAAGAAGGCCTCGGCCGGATGCACGGTCCAGGCCCGCCTCAGAGACATCAGGGCGCTAATCCGAAATGAGCAATCCGAGTTCCAATTCAATGCCCTTCTTGAATCTTCACATGGCTCTCTCTTGCGCCTTGCCTCGTGCAACAACCAGCAGAGCAGAGCCAAAGTTCATTCTGTCTCGTTCTGTCACAGACTGAGTTGGCATGAACGAACGCATCGGGCTCCGCGTTTGTCCTGCGAAAGTACTCATGGACTGGTCTTTGCCAGAGACAGTACTTGCGAACGCTGAACTGGTTTAAGGCGGCAGGTCCCGTTGGATCACGGCACCTGCCCTCTGTATATGGACTTTTGGGTGTGGTGGCAGGTGGTGAATTCCCAAGAAACCTAAGTGTGCCTGACAATCAAGGTTTATCAATCTTGCGACAGGCGCTACCGACGTGGCTACCTACCGTATCGCAGGCTTATTAACAGCACGAGCAAATCGGAGAAAACATTCTTCGCAACATCACTCAGGCACGGTGGGGAATGGGCTGGCGGGAGGCGGGCGCGTTAGAAACAATGTCTTGCCCCAAACGGCCGGCTCGCTCTCTGTTTTTCCTTCCTCTCCTTTTTGTTTCCCTTCTTTCCGTTTATTTTGCGGGGACATCGTTATCGTTTTTTCTTTTCTTCTCTTCTTCTTTTTTATGGATCGTCGCATCCCTCTCTGTTGGCCTTGAGCACGTCATAACCGACATCGCCGACCCATTCACCTCTGTCTGTGGGCTTGTTGGCCTGTGTAGCTGCCACGATACGAGGTAGGATTCGCTTCAAGTTGCAAGCTACATGTGGACTGTGGGAGTCCATCACTTGTGTTTCTGCTGAATTGCGGCTTGGCCGTTTCTGCCTTTATGCTGACAACGACGATCACGACGACGAGGGGGGCGCCCGCTTATGCTTGTAGCTCACCGCATGCCCTGCTTCAGGGTCATTCGTTGTTGAGACGGTTTATGCTTGGAGACCTTCCCGATCGCCGAATGTGGCTGCGCTCTTAAGACTCGAGACCTTATAAGATGGACTGGTCGGTTCGTCGTCGGCCGGTGCGTCCATGCGCGCCATCAGAGGCCATCGCGAGGGTCCATCCTGTTTGTCCTCCCGACTCGAACCTGGACCGACCTTGTCTCGAACACGAGCCTCAATTCACATCGCGCTCGCTCATCGTCTCGCTCGCGCCGTCGACGATCAGAGTTGCACGCCAGCAACCGCCGCCGCGTGGCCAGCTTTCCGTCTCCCGTCTGCTCCAGGCCAACGCTAATGCTCGCTCACCAGAATGAATGTCCGCATCTTACTCTCAGACGCGCCATCTCAGTACAACATTCTTGCGCCGAATTTAGCAGGCAGGCTAAGCCGATAGGTTAATTTGCCAGAATTCCATGCCTTTTTCCATGAAAGTCTATCTCTGCGCCACCACCGCCCTCCCACTGCTCATGCGCCAGGAGTCTTCAGGCAGAGCCGGCGCACGCCCGATATGGCATGGTGAGATGCTCTCAACGTCTGTGGTGTGGAGCACACTCCCTGTCCTGAGCCGTGGTTTGCACAGTGTACCTATTCGGATATGACAGTCATCGCGAACAGTATCTATTTCCATACCGTGGGAGGAAACCAACAACATCCCTTCTCTCTCCTCGTCGCTCGTAGGACCTTCGTCCTCGGCCCGCCTTATTGCTCTTACGCCGTCCAATTCTTTGCGGCCGCTGCCGAATTTCGAACCTTCAAAGAGAGTCCGTGTGCCAGGAAGGATGCCGAATGGCGTTGAAGCTTTGGGAGACTTGAAACACACCACCTCATGGCAGACGGATCCCCTGAAGGGAAATTATCCTCAACGTATCAATTGAACCGCCGCCCTCTTTGACTGCTACGGAGGAGACGACCCCCTGAAGCCACGAGTTTTACGGGCTGCTAATAACCATTAACAAGCTCTGGTATGCGCCAGAGCAGCATGGGAAGAATCTTCTCATTGCCACGAGCCTCATCGTCTTTTCCCTCTTGGGTCGTCTGTCTTCCTTGGCGGACGGCCCGGGGGCCGGAACGAGGGCGGGAACAAGATGAGGATGTTCATGATTCCTGTGGCATGGGCGCGCCGCCTCGGCTGCTTGTCAGACATGTACGTACGAAAAGTACATGCGTCAAGGGCATTTATTTGAACAGGCCGGGATGGGATCCTTTGATACGCTGTTTCTTGCCCAGCTTGCCCAGACTGGCGGCAGGGTGTTGGGGGCCGGAATGCCAGTGACTGGACGTCATGTGCTTCCATGTCTCATCCCGAGACCTGATGTTTGTCAAAGAAGAAATACACTACGAATACCTTTCCCCCGTCCAGTCCACGCGCATCAAATTGACTTTTAGGACCTGCTCGTGCCTTGGGTAGGTGGCACAGTACTATAGAATACAATGTTTACGGGTGCGCGGACGTTCAGGCTTCAGCAACAACTACTCCGTAGGCCGACAATATTAATTGCAGAACATCAGCAAGTACCAGGACGGTCGTCGCCCGACTCGGACCTCAGGATCTGCAACCTTCCATGGTATCGTGATGGGGGCAGCAGTTGGAGCAGTTGGAGCCTTTGATGGGGGGCGATGTCACGTTGATGACGTGAGCTAGTTGTTGTTGAGGTATCCTGTCCCAAATGGGCAAGATGCCACAGTCGTTTTGACTGATGGGTACGCATGCCGGGGCCGAAGGCTGGCAAGCCGCAAAGAACCCAGGAGGCATGTGTGCCCCTTGAAAGTTGAAAGGGGACGGAACAGCTGGCTCTGATTACAAGTTTGTTCTGAAGGTCGGGAAGATCAGCGCCAGGAAGGCTGATTTGACTCTGACTCAAAGTCGCACATGGCACTTGGCGCGCATCAGCTTTTGTCCAGACTGCACTGCAGAGGCAGCGAACGTCGAGGGTACGAAGCTTTCCACCCACCAGCCTCACCTTGGAGTTGAAAGAGGAGGTTGAAAGAGACGTGTTCGAACAATGTGTGGGCGGAAGAGTGGGAGCCAAGCGCATTACTGCGTAAGTACCGGGTCGGTCAGCAGTCAGCAACCAGTCGACGGGACGGACGCCTCAGGTCGGGCTGGAGAAGCCCTTGATAGTAATAATAGAACAGCGAACCTTTAATCCTCATCAAGATGTTTGGATGGTATCCGTAGATAGGTACTTGGGGGCACCAAGCCAAGGTAAGCCAAAAGAAAGTACCTTTTTTCGTACTTGATCCGACAGCGAAGCAGTGACGGTCCCCTTTCTCGCCTCAGCGGCAGCCTGTCAGGCAAGGTACCTATCCGTACACATGTACGGCATGTTCAATGATACGGTGCAATTCGCAAGGCCTCGTCGTGTCTCCAGCTAGGCCGCCGTGCCCGCCCCTTTTGAAGGAAACGGGAAGCAGGTCACCGTGCATGATGATATACCGGTGAGTGACACCGTTTCAAAGTATGGGACCCACGTGGCGGCGAGTACTCTTCATGTCCCGCCTGATGTCCGAGAATCCTTCCTCCCATTCCCAAGTTCCCCCCCCCCACCGTAACGAAAGCGCCTGCAGCCTCCCCGTGCTCCTCTGAAAAAGTTTCCCCTTCTGCTTGGATACTGGGCTCTCCCCTACGTACGCAGCCCTTGCACCCCCATCCACAAGCGAGCGGAAACTCAAGCTGCACGACATCCCATTGGTCCAACATCAGCTAAGAACAAGCCCCTGGCCCCCCCCCCCTAGGCGCAAGTGCAGAGTGCAGATGTGCAGGGCATGTTGCAGGGCGGGCTAAAGCAGTCAAGTTGGTGGGCGGAGAACAGGCCAGCGCAGCGACCCGGCGGAGCCAGTCAGTGCAGGAACAGGAGCCCTCGAAACGATGGAGAGAGAGACTACGAGTGCCCAGGTACCTAAGGTGGTGGACTATAGCCCAATGGCAGGACCGGGAGGTAAGGTACATCGCAGCTAGCACCGGGCTGCAACATTTTTAGGTGCACTTTACCAGGTTCCGCTGTTACTCCTGCATTTTGGAGGTAAATTCCATCAGTCCAGCAGCATTGGATCCAATGTCTTTTTTTTTTTTTTGCCCTCTGCCCCCTTCCCCATCGCTTCCCAATCCCTAGAGTGGCATTTCTTCCAAAAACCTCCTTTCTACAACGGCGGAGAAAGGCAGCGAAGTGACCGACACACTCTCGGAAAATACCACTCTAGCCAGGCATTCTTTTCTCTCGCCGCATCATCAGCTTTCTATCCAACTTCGACCTTCCTTCACTTTGCGATCGCCGTGCCAGCAGCAACCTATTTGCGGTCTACCTGGCCCGAGAGCCTAAAGTAGTAATAACCCGACCACGGACAGAAAAGATACGGCAATCCGAAGGGGAAAACGCCTAAGAAGGAGAAGGATTAAAAAAAAAAAAAAAAAAAGAGTAATCAAACCCCTAAAAATCCGACGAGCCAACCCCCGTCAGCAACTGCTCTGCGTAAAGGTACGCGCGGAGTCGACATCGTCCCGTCTCGCCCAACACCCAGCCTCCTTTCGTTTCTCACCCCTCGCTCCCTTACCACCTTACTCGCTTCACTGCGCCGACGAGGAGGACCGCAATAAAAAAAAAAAAAGACGAGGTCGAACATCGCAGGACGCTCCTCGCCTCAGCAACGCGCGCTACCCCGGGCACACTCCACCGATGCGAACCCAGCCATCCGCACACTCGAGCATTGACTCCCTTTCCCGTTCCTGCGTATCTGCTGCGTTCCTGCATCCGCTGCATCTCCATCGCGCCTCACCTGACTCGGCTTCCCAGCGACCTGGCGATAGCACCCGCTACCCGCATCATCGACTCCACGAGTAAAGTGCGACTTGAGCGACTTTCTTCATTATCGTGACGCCCCTAAGCAACTTCTTCAACGAACGAACGAAACGATTTCAATTGATACCCCCCAAAATCCCGGGCGCACTGGACACGACTTACGAGCAAGTCCATTTTCAACTGCCGCTCAGCGTGCAGGCCTCGATTTGATTCGCCATGGCTTTTCTTTTCAAGTCCAAGAAGAATCAGGATCGAGCTCTTGCAAGCCGCGATGGAAACTCTGGCGGATCGCAGGGCTCGATCCAAAGCCAGCGAGAGAGAATCGCGAGGGAAGAGAAGAACGGCACCCAGCGCTCGACACCGACCGGCAGCTTGAACTCAATCGATCGCGATGGGAGCGCCGGTGCTGGAAGCCCCGACCAAGGCTACACTCGCCAGCGAGGACCTAGTGTAGACCAAATACCGATACAAGCGCCTTCAAATGATTTGCCTGTAAGTTTATCCAGCTCACTTTGATGAGCTGGCGCTGCTGGAACACTGCTGATCTCCCTCCCAGCTTCGCAATGCTCCCCCCGTATCCTCGCAAAACCAGATGCCTCCTCAACAACAAATGATGAACCCTAATGCGTCGCTATACCCCTGGTCGCAACGACGATTGACGTATACATCATCACACCCGAGCCCCTTCCCCCGTTATGGAGCGGCCGTCAATTCGGTCTCGTCCAAGGAGGGCGATATTTACGTGATGGGAGGTTTGATCAATAGCTCCACCGTCAAGGGCGACTTGTGGATGATCGAGGCCGGACAGAACATGGCCTGCTATCCTCTGGCGACGACAGCCGAGGGACCTGGCCCGAGAGTCGGGCACGCAAGTTTGCTCGTTGGCAACGCCTTCATCGTCTACGGTGGTGACACCAAAGTAGATGAGATGGACGTCCTGGACGAGACGCTTTATCTCCTCAACACCTGTGAGTTTTATTCTCGTCATGCAGCGTGCACTGCCTCGTGGGAAGTTGAGTATTCGCTAACGAAGCACAGCAACGAGACAATGGTCGAGAGCATTGCCCGCTGGCACTCGGCCCTCCGGCCGTTACGGCCACTCCCTCAACATCCTCGGATCCAAGATTTACATTTTTGGTGGTCAGATCGAGGGCTACTTCATGAACGATATTGCTGCCTTTGACCTAAACCAGCTCCAAATGCCCAACAACCGGTGGGAGATGTTGATCCAGAATACTGACAGTGGCGGACCACCCGTCGGGAAAATTCCAGCCGCCCGAACCAACCACTCTGTGGTAACTTACAACGACAAGATGTATCTGTATGTATTGCGTGAAGCCTCGCAGGTATCACTACTGACGCACCTCTAGCTTCGGTGGTACAAACGGTTATCAATGGTTCAACGACGTTTGGAGCTACGATCCTGCGACGAACGAATGGACGCAACATGAATGCATTGGCTACATCCCAGTTCCCCGTGAGGGTCACGCTGCATCAATCGTCGACGATGTCATGTACATTTTCGGAGGACGCACGGAAGAGGGCGTCGACCTCGGAGATCTCGCCGCCTTCAGAATTACTTCGCGCCGGTGGTACACCTTCCAGAACATGGGTCCGTCGCCCTCTCCCCGATCCGGTCACAGCATGACCACAGTTGGCAAGGCCGTGGTTGTCGTCGGAGGCGAACCCTCTTCGTCCCCCGCCAGCGTTGGCGACCTTGGAATAGTCTACATGCTCGATACTACAAAGATTCGGTACCCGAACGATGCGGCAGCAGCACAACAACCTAATGGACCGCAAGCGAATGGACAGCAACGCCCACAGCAGGCGAGGCGGCCCAGTGCTGCGGCCGAGACAAGGAACATTCTATCAAGAGACGGTTCCCAGGGTCCTCCTGATCAAAAGCGACTAGTCGGGGCCCCTGGAGCACCTCGCGATGCTTCCGCCGTCAACAGTCCCACCAACGTAGTGCGAGGATCTCCCAACGGAACAGACGCGAACCCGGCGGCAGTGAACAATATGTCGAAGCTCCCCAGATCTGCAGCGACTTCGCCCCCGCTGGGCCCCCGCCTCAAGGACCGACGCCTGCAAAGCCTTCGGTTCAAACTGGAAACTTGGGAAGAGTTAGGGGACAGTCGTCGGAGAGAGATGGATCCGTTGGTGGCTCGCCGCAGATTGCTGCAGGCCAGTCTCCCGTCATTCGTGAGGTTAAAGAGCCCAAGGACGCGGAGAGTCCGGTCACCAATGGCCGACGGACTCCTCAGGGGGTCTTGAGATCTGGCTCCAAGTCTGAATCTGCTCCTTCCGAGCCTTCCAAAACCAGGTCCAGGCAAGGCAGCAGGTCCCAAACCTCCGTGGATAGCACGACCGAGCCTGCTTTGAAGGCAATGCAGATTCAACAACAAGCCCAAGTTCAACCACCACCTCAGACGCAAGCACAACCGCCTGTCCAACCGCCTGTCCAACCGCCTGCCCCAGTACAACCGCCTGTTCAAGCACAGCCGCCGCCGCCAACCCAACAGCAGTCGCCGCTACAAGTGCAGCAGCCCATCCGGCTGGCCTCGCCGCCACCCCCCACTCGTCAGCCTAGCAATCCATTGTCTCGACGATCCTCGGGCCGCACCTCGCAGACTGTCGCTATACTGAAGGAGTTGGACACAGCTAGAAACCGCAATGCCTGGTATGCGTCAGAGCTTGAGCTGGCTCGCAAGGCTGGGTATGTTCCCAACGCAAGCCTCAGCCCTGTTCTCGATAGCAGGGCCGCGGAGACCTTCGATGACGAGGACAAACCACTTATCGAGGCGCTCTTGGCCATGAGAACCGAGCTCGCCAATGTTCAGGCATCCGTTGACAAGCAAGCCATTCTTGCTGCGAAACAAATCGCTGAGGCGGAGAAGCAGCGAGACGCTGCAATCCAAGAGGCGGTGTATGCAAAGGCCAGAGTTGCAGCCCAGATGGGCGGAAGCGTTGCAAGCACTCCCCAGCTAGATGGCGAGCGCGATGTTGACGACCGTTCCACCGAGATCAGCCGCAAGTTGGCTTCTGCCCTCAACTACCAAAAGGACCTCCAAGCCCAGCTTGAGATGATGAAATCTGAGCTTGAAGCTGAGAAACGTGCCCGCCTTTTGGCCGACGACACGACCAACGCCTCCCAGAAGCGCATGAGCGAACTCGAGTCTTACAAGACAATGACTTCCACCGAACTCGAGCAGCTCAAAGCCGAGCTGCACATGGTGCAGAAAGAAGCTAGGGAGCAGGCGGTCCAGTACACGGAGGCCATGGCAGCGATTCAGCTCATGACTGTCGAGAAGGATGACTTTGAGAAGAAGTACAACGACTCCATCGGCAGCTCCAAGGACCAGAACGACACCTTCGACTCTCTCCGTACCGCCATGGCTGCTTCCGCAGAGATGAAGGCGCTCTTGGAGAGCAAGCTGGAGGAGGAGCGCTCGCAAAGAGAGCAACTCGAGTCCAAGTTCAACAAGCTCAAGGCGGAACACGAAGCACGCACTACGGAGCTTGTAGCTGCTACTCAGCGACTGCGTGACGCTGAGGAGATTGCCGAGAAGCATGCCAAGGAAGCAAAACTCCACCAGCAAGCCGTACTGGCCGGATTCGACAAGGTCACTGCGAGAGATATTGGATCCGACGGGAAAGCCGACGAGGGGCGCGCCAAGGCATTGCAGGGTCAGCTCGTCGCTGCGAACGCGCTTGTCAAGAAGTACCAGCAAGAGGCTGATGCTGCGGCTGATAAGCTTCGCACTGCGGAAGAGCGCATTGCTGGATTGGAGGTTTACCAGGAGCAGTCCAGTCGCGAGGGTGTGGCAATCAGGAGACAGCTCCAGGCGGCTCTGAGGGACACTCAGTCTCTGCAAGCTAAGAACTCGGACTTGAAGCACCAACTTCAGAACCAACAGCTGGAGACCAACGCGATGACCGTGCAGCACAACACCCTGAAGGACATCCTCGTTGAGCGTGGTATCAGCCCCACAGGCATGTCAAGAACCCGAAGCATTGGCAGCCCGCGAGTGAACACTCCCGAGGCGGCTCGCATTCGCGATCTTGAGGATCAGCTCAACGCTGCATTGACTGCCCACGAAGAGAATGCACAGCGCAGCACGGCCCAGCAGGAGGCGAGCGAAGCTGCGTACCGCGAAAAGCTCGGCCAACTGGAAAATGACTATCAGTCTGCTGTGCACTACGTCAAGGGTACGGAGAAGATGCTGAAGCAACTCAAGGAGCAGCTTGCCAGGTATAAAACCGAGAATGCCAAGCTCAAGAACGAGGTTATCGAGCTTGAGGATCGCGTGGAGGCATCTGCCGGCACTGACGGAAATGCCCCTGCCAACTGGGAAAGCGAACGCCACATTCTACAGGAGAAGATTGAGGCTCTCGAAGAAGACTTGCAGGCGTCCACCGAGCAGCTTGAATCTCAGCTTAACGCGGTCAGGAAGGAGTTGGAGGATAGCAAGAAGCATCGCGATGGCGCTCTAAAGGACGCCGAGGAAGCTTCCCGGAAACTGGACGCCAACCGCCGAGACTTGGAGACACTCCACCAGGAGAACAACCTCCTGGAGCGTCGCGCCCAGGATGCCGAAGGAAAGGTCTCGCTGCTTCTCGACCAGGTTGAGAACTCCGTCGACAGCTACCGCCGGCAAAGCAGGCAGGCACCGAGTATGACCTCCGACCTGACCGAGAGGGGTACCAACGGAAACAGCGTGGGACATCGACGACAGGACAGCTCTGACGCGGACAGCACCTACGGGGCAGTCTCTGGCGGAGTCGACGGACGCAATAGCACTGCGTTGGACAATCTGGCAGATGAACTCGAGACCCTGCGCACCCACTGGGAAGCCACCAACAAGAACTACCGCCTGAGCAACACCTTTGACTTTGAGGGCGCGGCAACCCCTACTCGCAAGGACGAAGAAGTCGGACTTGGCCTCAGCGAAAGCTTGGCCGACTGGCGCAAGCGACTCGACGTGGACGAACAAGCCGAGAACGACCGAGCGAAGACGAAAAGCCGACCTGACCGGCCTTAGTCTGGCGTTCTGCGACGCATGAACTCCCGCTTTACGTGACGACTTTCGAGCGGTCGTCACTACACTTTCTGTACATTCTTTGACTGCCCACGGTCCGCCGCGGTCTGCAGTTCGCAGTTGGAAGGAGTTTTTCGAATTTTGGGGATTTGGTTTCGACGCGTGGGCTCTGTTCTTCGTTTCGCAATGATTCAACGTACTCATGACGAAACAACCTTCGCTTAATTCCCCCGCTCTTTTTTATCGCGTTTCCTTTTCTTTTCCTTTCTGAGTTCATGGGTTTCTCTATTTTTGATGATACACTACACACAACCATGACCTCTGCTTGCTTGTTCTTCGCCGTGGACGTACGAGAGCAGGCCGGGCGCACAAGGGTCACTTCTATTCTTTGAGATGGGTGGATGACACTGTTGGAGAGATTGAGCACACGTGCCCAGTTGCCTTTTTCTTCTTTTCTTTTACCATAATGTACAATACTGGGGGTTTTGTTTTCTGAGAAGCCTCATCTCGACGTTGAAGGGTTTCGTTCCCCTCACGTCAAGAATATGGGGGCAAAAAAATGAAGAGGAGGCGCGCGCGCAGGAACGTTTGATGACTGATCAACGAGCGGAGCGGAGCTGGCTCAGAAGGGCAAAAAGATAACGACAATAAGCGGCCGTCGAGGATTCTCTTTCTCGTACGGTTTTGATAACAAATCCTTTTATACACTGAAGAAGAGCCTGATGATTCCTGGTGGCTTGTGATGATGGTTGGGGTTTAGCAGGCGTGACGATTGTTGTCTACCTAGGGTTTGGTCAAATGATGAGACGATTGTTACCCCTGAATGTGTCTGATGTTGTGATGTGATGTACCATCGTGGTTTGCGGTATGAACTGCCGTCCTTATGAAGAGCTTGTTCCCTCTTAGCAATTGTAGTAAGCTAGAGACATTGAGGAGCTCAGCGTTATTGGTTGCCTTGACGGCGCATCTAAACCTGGAGGCAGTGGGACTGGTCTAAGCTAGATGTGGCCACCTTTCACCACAAACCTGCGGCAGCGTGTCTAGGATAGCACAATGTCTACTTTGCCTTTTTCTTCGCACAGACTAGCTCGACGATGATTGAATATCCTAGGCCATGGTTGACAACCGGAGGAGCGAGCCTCAGGGTCTCTGAAACGATACCTCTTCAGAGGTGGCTTACGCCGCGTGTTTCCTTCCCCCCCCCCCCCCCCCCCCCCCCCTTCGTGATGGGGTGTCGTTGTAGCAGTAAGTATAAAGTGTACTTCCTGGACGGCCCTCTAGTTCTTTCGCAGGCAGGCAATATCTTGGTAGGATCTTGGAGTCCTCTTGCAACAATGGCTGCTTTTGTCCTGAACTTTTGCTTTAGCAAACACCTGCTGACATGCAGCGATGAGCCTTTCTGTATGTTGAGGAAGTGTAGTAGACGGAAACGTCCTCGAGTGTTTAGCTTCGCTTCCATGGGTCCTGGGTATATTCGCGTTGCTTTACTCTCACGAAGATGGCTACTAGATGTTTGTGAGGTTAGCTAGGGAGTGAAGTCATCGGCTGCCAGAGCTCTCGATTTGCTTTTCGGGGTCATGCGCGTCCAAGTTCTGCACGCTGTGACTGGCGACGATCCTGGGGATCATAGCCCGGTCAATTCCGGCTTCGAAGACTCGTACCGTCGTCTTTCGTTTGGGAAGCTGAAGGCTGAGCGGGAGATGACTTTGCGTCCTTATAAATCATCCGCCGGCGTCGGAGTAGATAGTCCAGGGTGCCATTCCCGAAACTGTCATTCAAGACTCATATTTAGATGACTTCCTTGGTTGCCGATACTGACTTTTTGGGCTCAGCCCATCAGAACCGGCTCAGACGATCGGCTCAAATCATCTTCCTTCATCTTGTATGTCGTGGCTTTCGTCATGAGCTTCGCAGAGACATTAGGGGGCTATGTATTTCAAGATACTTATTTAGTGGTAGAGAATAAGATTATCTATATCTCTTGACTTGATTATCTCGTGTTGTAACCATATACATACTCGAATACCCCTGTGATAGTAAAGGATTATGAAGTCTACTTGTCTATATGACTATCTTTACTAGCTACTATCTACTAAAATGAAGTGCCAGAATTTCTGGTATCGTAGAACATCCCACGCTCCAACGGTGATATGGCGCAACAAAGTCATCACACCTTATTATGCTTGGTTCTGGTCTCTAAATACACTAAACTTGCACCGTGAGATACAAGACCACGAATTGTCCCATTCCCTTCCACCAGTTTTATGCTAGTCGGCGACTCGGACATATCTCAGATGATCTATTATATGAAGAGTGGCAGGGCTCGGCAATGAAAGGAGCTAGAAAGCTGATTCTAGTACTTCTTAAAAAGGTTATTTGGCATAAATGAGTATACATGTGGCTTTTTTGAGCGATTCTGTCTTAAGCTCCTTGTCATTGAGAGGTTAAAGGTCTTCACGCACAATCAAACATTGAGGCCAAGGCATAGCGAAAAGAGTTGCACTACTGAACAGTGAACTAAGTTGTACGCTCGAAGCCATTTCAAGGTCTGTCTTAATCCCTACGGGTGGAGGAGAGTTTTTTTAATAGGAGGATTTCCTCTACGAGTGCTAGCAAGCTTCCAGTCCCGGTATGAGTATCCCCCCCCGGGCGAGTCGCCGTGAATGGTCTCTTTCCCCTTTGGACTTCACTATGCCAGTGACTCCTCGCCAGAGACCTCGTTGAATGAAAACAGCGTTGAGGATGGGTTTTGAGTCCCCTATTCTAATAGTGCCGAATTACCATTGTGTGGCATCCGCGAGTAGACGGTAAACAGCCTGTAACCTAAAGCAACTCGAATGGGAACGAACCATCAGTTTCGAACATCACCTAGAAATCTGAACCCCCGTCTACTCTTATAAGTTAACCAGCATCCTATCTCTCAAGTCCATCACCACACACCTCCCTCCATACTCACCTCCCACAGCCAAAGTCTTACCTCACTATGACTAAAAGAATACTCCCTCCCCCACAAACCACTCTCGGACCGTCATTCCACCCTACACCCGAACAAGACCCTAACGCGGGGGGAAAGCGAAACCGGGGGAGAGTCCATGTGAACGTGGAGTCGCGCGTGGAGCCGGGGGGGTTCAAGATCCGGGTGAGGTGAAGATCGGGGGCAGGCACTCTTGCCCAGATCAAACAGGGAAGTAGCCCGGAGCGGAGGGACTGGACCCACATCCTTTTTTTCGGCTCCGCAGCCCATCTCCGACAGCACGGGTGACGGTTGAGTCAAATCTCCATAGTCTGTGCTCTCACCGACGGATAACGGCCCTTTGTGACCCTTGGCAAACGCGGCACGAACCCCGCCATCTCGCCCGTTTCCCCGCCCCCTTCCACCTTCCCCCTCTCCGTGCTACAGCCATTTCCTGTCACTCGCTGCCTTTGTGTAACCCTAGCCGATCAGTAGGAATTGAAGCAGGCTCACATCACAGCTCACATCACAAGGCGTCCCATGTCAGATGAAGTCATGTTGAAGCGTAAGAGAGGTATCTCAGTTTATATCATCCGGTTGCAGAGCTCTAGGTATAACAACATCCAAAGTGATAGATCCTCTGAATTCCCCCAGTCCCAGGTCCTCCCGCGAAAAGAAAATCATGTGTCAACCGGCGCTCGTCCAGGTCTTTCAAAGACGCCGTTCTAGAACGCTTGGAAAATGGAATCCTCATCCCGCCCACAAAGTCTGAAGACGCCCGCAGATAAGTAACCGTACGTTCAATGTAAGCAAGAAAGGTCCCAGTCATGCTCATAAATGAGATCCGCCTCTTCGCGTCAAAGCAACTTCGTAATATCCTTCGACTTTAGTCGGCCTCCAAAGTCTCCCTCATTACCCGGCGCATTAGGTCATGTATCCGTGCTGACGAGCGCTCTAGGAATCCGCGGTTCGTTTGAGATTCGGTTGGGAATCCACGTTGGATGCACCGCAGGTATCGCCGGCCTCGCATGCAGGATATCGAGTAAACAAAGCGTGTAGCCCAAATTATCCTTCTTCGTGTAGGCGGACCAAAATCAGAAGACCGCCGCGCAATGACCAGTAATCGTGGCCATGGTGGTATCAAACAAAATTCGTAAAAAAAATAACAGCCAGTAAAATCATGATGCGCCGTGACCATATCAAAAGTCAGATAGACCTCGGAACAGAAAATCAGCGTGCCACGACACCGCCTCTATCGGGGAGTAGGATGGAAAGCAATCGTGGAGGGTCTCCGGAGCGAGGATTGCCGCTCGCTTGTATCGTCTGGTCGTTGCGTGAGGATAATTCGCACCTCCTTACAGACTCATCGTAAGCCATTCCCACTCCTGCGGACCAGAAGCCGGGCCTCCTGGATTCATCATCTGGCCATTCTGGCCACCAGGCATTCCCATCATGCCAGTCCCCATCATTGGGCGTTGGGTCATTCCGAAGCCGTTAGCCAAGCCCAGCGAGCCCGCCGTCGGCATGCTCGCAAGCCCAGTGGCAGATCCAAGCGACTTTGCAGCCTCGTTGGGAGACCCTGTCGAGGTCTCGGGGCTGTCCACGTCCATGCCTGCAAGACCCTCGCTGCCAGCACTCTTGCTGTGGCGACGCTGGCGCTTGGATGAGCCGGAAGAAGAGGATGTTCCTGCATTGCGTGACAGAGCTGCAGCACCGGGCCCAGGGGTGTTCTTGGGCGGAGCAGCGGCAATTGGCACTACACCCTTTCCTCCAGCAGCGGCGCCGGTGGAAGAACTCGTGCCGTAGCTTGTCGGAGTACTGCCGGCCGTGTTCCCGCCCGATGCGGCACCACTGGCAGGGCTCTCTCCCTCGTTTGCACTACCGGCCCGAGTAGCAGCAGGCGGCGTAGTGACGTTATTCGCCGGAGTAGAGACCGCAAGCGTCGAGTTCTTACGGGAACCCGGGCCCGAGATGCTCGCCGCGTTCTTCTTCGATCTCGTACTTGTTCCCCCTACGGGCAAACTGGCTCCAGAACCACGATTCCTCTTCT